AATACCGGTATGACCCAAGGATTATTTATACAGGTATTTGCAGAAAAGCTCATTATAACGAACATAAAATTTACCATATGCTGACTATAAACTAGGTCGTTGTTCAGCTCTGTAACGTCAACCTATTTATCAACAGCCTGCCTATGGTAAAAAATTGATCGTACTCCGATCATTCTCTTTCATACCGAATCGGTTGGGAGACCTGAACACCATATGCAGATGACAGTGGAATGTAACTACATAGACAGGGTTAGTTGGCGATGTAAAAGCTGAGCTCTTTCCGTTTGACATAGTTTACATGATAGTTTGCCATTCACGTTTTAGTCTATAAAACTTCAAATTACGAAAGTTCACCGAGATACATCGAGTCGATATATATATATATATATATATATATATATATATATATATATATATATATATATATATATATATATATATATATATATATATATATATTAGGGATGTCAAATCGGTCAATATTTGATAATCGGTTACTCGGACGATTTTCCGATCGAGTACCCGGGTACTCGAAAAAATTGTAAAATACAAATGTGTTAATTTTGATTTTAATTGATTTTTTGTACTAAATTGATTTATCAAATAAACACAAAAGACAACAATTAATACATCAATAATTAGAAATGGTATATACTTCTTGTTGAGGAAAACGATTTGATCAACGCAAGAGGAAGACAATTTGTAACGCAGCTTTGCAATGATTAGATAAGCGCAAGAAATTGTTTTTAAAGAAAGAGACGGTGTCGAGATCGCTAGACGTATATTATTTAATTAATACATGTATGTTGAATGTTTCCCAATATACGCTATGTTTACTTTGAGTTACTAATTTTAAACATTTTTAAAACCTTTAGTTCTTTCCTAATGTTTTTTTTTTCACTTTTTAAAGTGGTAGCGGCATTTCTTTTCAAGTCCGAATTCGCTACTGTATGCGAACTAAATTATTTTAGGATAATAAACCCTAATTAAACGATGTTCATTAAATACTAATCATTAAAGCCATCCAAAAAATAATGGGCCACAAGAGGTGTGCATCAGGAGATTGGTCGCGGTAATTACTGTATAAACAAGTACACAGAAGCCACAGACAATAATGGGTTATTAACAGGTGTGGGTGACACTAATTACAAGGTAAACATGAACAATTCATTTTGAAGTTGCATTTTTTGATAAGTTTTTGATAAAAAAAAAAAAACAAAAACAAAAAACTTTGTTCTTTAAAATAATAAAAAAAAATACATCCGAGTAACCGATTAGCGATTTTAGTATTCGATACTCGGACGTACCATCGAGTACCCGGTCAACCGGGTACTCGTTGACATCCCTAATATATATATATATATATATATATATATATATATATATATATATATATATATATATATATATATATATATATATATATATATATATATATCTGTTATTTTCCCTAAAGTTGTAGCAATTAAAAAGAAAAAAAATTAAGTAACAGAAAACGATCTTAAATTTTTCCAGATACAACGGTATATACAGCACAATGTAGAACAATATTTAGAAACTGCATATCGACTTCCAATTTGCCATTAAATGAAGTGCAAATAAGTCACATATCAAGTCAAGTTTTCTGTTTTTCAAATAGGGAATCCCAATTGTTCTGAAAAAATGCCTCCTTGAAACAGAATGAATTTGATATACGCATAAAGAGACAGGATTCTTCTTCAAAACTGCCATTTCCGATTTTTGTTTCAAAGAGGCATATTTTGAAAATCACAAAAATCGAATAAAAATTATTATCCATCCGAAATGCAAAATGTGCACCTAAAATACCACTTGGTACTTCACTGTCGCAGTGTAGTGGTAAAGCGTGTAAACTCTATGCAAAGATTCTTTTACCTGAGAATGGGTTCGATTCCTGGAATGGCTGATATATATATATATATATATATATATATATATATATATATATATATATATATATATATATATATATATATATATATATATATATATTCTTATAAAATGGAAATACAATGTAACATCTCTCTTGAGAAAGATTTAATTTTGTTAAAATTATGGTCCACCGTGGTAAGGGTGGGGCCATAATAGGGATAGGGGGTCAAAAAATTACAAAAGAGTATTATAGGAAAAAATCATGTAATGAACAACAGGGCCATGGTTAATCAAATTATTATGTAAGCATCCTCAGGTTCTGTAGATCAATTTTGTTCACATTATGGTCTCCCATATCAGGGGATCAAAGTTTAACAGGAATACTAATGAATGTTTAGGAAAAAAAAAATTCTCATTAAGTTCGGAAGGACCATACATGTAATTAGTCATATTACATGTACTATGCAAGCATCTTCAGGTAGTGTAGATAGAAGTTTGTACAAATCTTGAGCGCTGAGAATAGGGCGTGGCCAAAAGAGTGCCTAAGTTTTACATAGGAATACCGGTATATAAATCGATAAAAAAAACTTTTCTAATGTAGCAGGAACTCAATAAATCATATTAATATGATACATTCTAAAATTGTGTGGATTCATTTTTTTTTTAACCCTAAGGCCAAATTTGAGCTAAAATCAAATTAAATTTTCATTACCTATATGCAGTAAAGGTTTTTCATTTGAATGAAGAAAAAATTATCAACAACTGGGTCACCTTTAATAAGGTGAGCGTCGTGGCCCATGCGCTCTTGTTTATTTTCCTATCTTCAAAAAAGCCAGATTGTATCAAGAGGAGAGAAAATACATATTCCGGACAAATGATATCAGACAAACGGATTGATAGAGTGATCACATCTGGGCACATTCAGAGTGGGGCCCTCATTAACAAATCATACCACAGACATATTACAAATATGCAATGATACTTTATGAAAACATACGTGAACAAAATTTACACACGTCACATACAAATCTATACAGAATCGGTTAATTACGATTCCGTTCCCCGTAAAAAGACACAGGAAACTTTGTCTTCAAAACACTCGTTCTGAAAAATTTGTTTTATCTGTGGTAATTCCAAGTGAACCCACATCCAAAATTGGATTAGGGATTTTAAGAATAAACATTTAGTTTCAAATAAACGTAAAATTAAACAGTAAGTGGGGTATATATATAAAGATTCCAGATACAGTTTCTATTTAATGAAGCTATGCATTACCTAATTTCGATCAAATTGTTTTGGTGCTTTATGCATTATGTAAAATTGGTACTGTAAATGTTCAAAATGATTTTTTGCAATTAATGTTCATCAATGTTATTTTTGACAAAGAAATAATTGTCATGATAATAATACTTATCAATAATATCAAAGTACATGAATATCTAAACGCATCAAAGTTATAAACTTTGAAAATAAAACTGAAAAAATAAGCAAACTAATTAACAATCCCTCCAAAACAAGTTCTAACAATGATTTTCATATCTGAAGAAAATAAAAATAATGACAGTAACTAAGTATATCATGCAATGATTTCCTTATCACGCAATTTATTTAGGAGTTGCAAAAAAAGATTTCAACAATGTTAACATACGTCGACTTTATTATTTTGTTTTCATTGTTAAAATTTGATTTCTGCACTTTTGTAAAGAAAATTTGACCTTGGTTGTATGTTTTGCAGAATAAGCGCATTGAAATTGTGCATTGCAGTGTCATCAGCAATTCTGGTTTGCAGAATAAGCGCAGTCAAATTGTTCATCAGATTACCATCGGCAATTTAGCTCTGCGAAATAAGGGCAATCAAATTAATCATTGTGATGCCATCGACAATTTCATTTTGCCAAATACTAGGAAGTGCAGTAAAATTATTCATTGCAATGTATCAGCAATTTTGCTTTGCAGAATAATCATAAATTTTTCATTGCAATTTCATCTTGCAGAATTAGTGCAGTCAGACTGTACTTTACTATGCCATTGCCAATTTAACTTTTTTAGAATTCTGTTTTTATCAGTGCAGTAAAACTGTTCATTGCAATGACATTGGCAATTTGGCTTCGCAGAATAAGTGCAGTCAAATTGTTCATTGCAATGTCATAAACTATTTCAAGATGCAGAATGAGTGGTCAAATGGATCATTTCAATGTCATTGCCAATTTCACTTTGAAAAATTGTATTTTAGACAAACAATTAGTGTAAGTTAACCTTAACGCACCAAAATTATTAACTTTGAAAATAAAATAAGAAAAACATCCCTCAAAAAATGTTCTTTCATTGATTTTCGTATCTTAAGAATATAATGGCATTTACTTTGTTAATTATGCAATGATATCCTCATCATGCAAATGGGAGTTGCAATAAAAGATTTCTAACTCACGTTGTCTTTGATACTTTGCTTTAATTGTTGGATCTTGAGCTCTGTACTTTCTTAAAGAAAGGTTGACCTAGTATGTCTGTTTTGCAGAATAAGCGCAGTCAAATTAATCATTGCAGTACAAACAGCTATTTCACTATGCAGAATAAGTACAGTCAAAAGGTTCATTGAAACGCCATTACCAAATTAACTTTGCAGAATAAACGCTGTCTAACTGTTCGTTGCAGTGCCATCGGCAATTTGGCTTTGCAGCATAAGTGCAGTTAAATTGTCCACTGCAACATCATCGGTAATTTGACTTTGCAGAATAAGTTCAATCAATTTTTTCATTGCAATGTCATTGGCTCATTTCACTTTGCAGAATATTAGTAAGTGCAGTCAAATTGTCCATTGCAATGTCATTGGTCATTTCACTTTGCAGAATAAGCGCAGTTAAATTGTTCATATTGCAATGCCATTGCCAATTTTACTTTAAGAATCAGCACAGTCAAGCTGCACATTGCAATGCCATCGGCCATTTCACTTGACGTCATCTGCAATTCAGCAAATTGAATTTTCCTTCTTTCAAACTTTTGAGTCTCTTGATATTCTTAATCTTTTCATACTATGTCTGATCCTACTAAAACATTCGGAAAACTATTTATTCATTAATAAATTGATTTATTTATATTTCAGTATATAGTTACAAAAGAGTTTCGTAAAGAGATGAAAATTATATATCAAATATGTATAAAAAAAAAAAAATCCAACATAAACAAAATGGACGGAAACCATCATAAATCACATCAATTTATGACCATGATAACTAGTTGTGTGTAAAAGAGTAACCGAATTTACATAAGCTCATCTGAAAGAGTATTGCATGTCATCACATTACTAATGAAATACCTGAAGTTCTTCATTTTTATACGAAAAAAAAAAGATCACATATTGATTTGACAACGAAAACAGTAAGACGTATTGCAAAAAGATAACATTGCACGGGGTCTTTTCTTAAGGAAAAATAGTGGCATTCCCCTTTTATCACAGATATTCTTAATACAATAACTCTAGGCAAACAATACCTTATTAATATAACAGAATATGATTATATAAAGTCATTACTGAAACAGATCGATAGAGATGTTTGAATTTCACTCTAGAAACTTGGATGATATCACTGTAGGACACAAGCAGAACTTTCTGTTTTGTTGTTTTCAGCAGAACTTGGGCGCTTTCCATTCGACGTTGGTGCTTTTTTGTTTGCCTGATTAAACAAAACACAAAATCAAATTAAAATTCAACAATTCATTTGGACTAACTGAAAATCACACGAAATAGTTATTTGTCTACATTTGTACGTGTGCACACTATTTAAAATGAATTCAAATATAGATGCAAAAACGTATTGCAATATATCTACTAAAAGAAAAACAAAACAAAAGGAAATTAAAAAAAAAAAAGAAAGAGTCTATTTCATATAATTTTTACCTAGAATCTATAAAATTATAAAATACATGTTCATAAAATAAAATTATTGAACTGAATTATTGTGACTATATTCGAATTAACGTCATTGTTATGTGCTGATAATACGTTGTAACCAAAATTGCATGCATGCATTTCCGAGTTATATAATTGGTTACATTTGATTACATCTATTATCATGCTATAGAGAAGTTGCCATGCCAACAGTAGATGCCAAATTGACAAGCAAGATGTCCGCGCATCGGTTACAACGACACAAAGAATATACGTTTTTTTTCAACGAAGCCTTTCTGGCTCTTCTCACTTCAAGAAGTTCGGGTAATTTCTTATCTTTTCTCCTGTTTTGTTGTTGTGTGGATCACTATTTAGGATTCGTCGTAAGAATACGAATTTTGTTAATCCCACGCCTGAGAAACCAGAGGAATGGAATTTTGAAATGTTTTAATTTTCAGAAAACTGAACAACATATGAAGTTACCTTTGACGGATTTCGATATTGAACTTCTTCAAATCAAACTAAGAATTAAACAATTATAAGTGAACACAAAAATAAAAGAAAATCAAAACTAAAACGTTTACTAACCAATGGCTACCACAAACAAAAATTAGGAAAAAGTGCTTTAAATTTTAATATTTTCAACGTAACTGGAGTATTTATCTCAATGGAAAGCATTTACCCCTTTGATGTCTAGATTTATTTTGTTGTAAAATAAAAACAAAATAAGCTAGGGAAACAAGCAAAACTCTGAGGGGGCAGGAATATCGACTCACTGAATACTCGCTTATTGCATTTCGCGCCGGTTTAATAACCTCTCTCTTGGAGTTTATATCAGAGAGAAGAGTTGTCCTTTTGCCGTTTTGTGTAAACCCTTTACTGCGGTTGAGAGAGTCCTCAGTGCCTGGGTTCATATAGGGTGCCAAGTCTACAGAGCCAAATGAATCTTGGTCTCCCTGACTTTCCTCTTTTTCTTCTATCACAGACTGTAGAAAAAGTACAAACATAGCAGCCTCGATTTGGTTTGAAAAAAAGAGCCATCGTTAATTATTTTTAAAATATCAATTGAATCAGCTTTATTATTATGAATCATTTTCTCTTGGGGAAAAGGAATTCAGGGATGTATTGCCGACATTACTTCCACGTTCCCAAACAACATTTTGGTGAATCTACAGTGTCAGTTTATCATTAAAATCTAAAGAAGACTTAATTACACTCAAAAGCGACATGAAAAGGGAGTAAGAAAATGACTGAAAAAAGGAAATACAACATTTGCGGACAACGAAAATCTAGAAACTCATGCAAATAATCTTGTAACATTTTTAACCTAACATTTTAACTTAAGGATTACGAGTACAACGAAAAGAGGGTTGTGAACCATACAAGCTTTAAAACGCATTCTCTGTGTGCGTCATTCCGGAAGTGACGCCGAATCTTACATCAGTTTTGGTTTTGGTTAGTTGTAGATCCGGGTAATGGTGCTTGGATACTTTATGGTAGTCAACAACGCCGTTATTTAAGCTGGCCTCCTGTGCCAATTCGTGTTCATTTTCATCAAAGACAAATAAACTTATCGTATCCCCGTCCCCGACATGTTTACCATCCTGGAAAAAGCAGACGACACAATCAGAGAGACCCAAAGTTTCCTCATCCATCTAGTACTATAATGGCCAGGACTAATAACGTGAATCTTTCTAAATATACCGTTAATCCACGTTTCCATGGCCCTGTTCCCAGTCCAGGTATGCTAAAAACAGTTACAGAAATAGGAAAAAGATTGGGTGACAGTTTCTGGGACTTAGAGGATAAAGAATTAAAACTACTTATTGACTGGGAAGCCCAACTACACTTTACATAACCCACTTACCTGGAAATGCATGCATTATAGTTATAAACTAGAATAATGTTACTGAACATGCTAGTAAATAGTCAGGTGAAAACAATAGAAAGCTGAAACCCAACACAGAAATACTCTAAGCTTAAACTTGCATATATTTTTCTAAACCGTTAAATTTCCAATTAAACTCATCATTTAGATTATATATATATATATATATATATATATATATATATATATATATATATTTTTTTTTTTTTTTTTTTTTTTTTTTTTTTTTTTTTGACAAGTTATGCTAAGAGTGTCCTTTTTCAACAGCAATTCCAGGGTCTGTGTTGAATTTTAGCTTAGAAAATAGTTAAGATATTTGAAATATAGGAATTGGTAACGTCATTGGTGAGCTTACGCTTTTCTCCATGGCCATTTGCCTCACGTACTTTTGCCCTTGCAAAACCTGTTTGAATATTTACATTTGATAAAAATTAACAAATTCTAATGAAAAGCTCCCAAAAGCTAAGGCCCCAAGACGTATTGCACTGCTGTTGATGAAGTTGTGAATGATTCTGTCATATGGATCTGAATGAAGTGCAAATTTGTTATCTTTTTTTAAAATTTCTAATCATGATCTGATATAAGAAAAGAGTCTCCTCTAATGCAAACAGCCTGAAAGCACTGTCTGTTCAAGCATTAGTCAAGCATCAAAAAATGCATTTATTTTATTTTTTTTTTTTAACTAGAAAGATTATGATCAAGAAAAAGCATGTGTATGATATTTTTAGATTATGAAAAATCATGTGATGAATATTACTTAAATTCAAGAAGAATCAATATTGGATGGTTTGTGAAATGCTACGACTTTCTTATACATGTGTATGTTAGTTTAAAGCAAAATCCAGCACCATACACATCTATTCAGGCAGATTGTCAAAGACAATGCTTTATAAAAACTCTAAACCTTTGACAGCATGCTAGGGTCCATTGTTTTTTGTCTTTGCAACTCAGGTGCCTCTTTTTGTAAATGTAACATCTGTATCAAAACATTAATTAATGGTTCATTACAAAAAATTACACGATGTTACAAGCTTTCGAAACAGCATTACAAATTTTCCCCCTTAAAATTCTATTTTGTAAAGAGAAAGATATCCATGTTCAGATTAATACATGTGTAATACAAAAACAGTGTTCTTTTAAGAAATAAAGTATTTGAGTAAATAAGTGATTTTAGTTGTTATTTTTCTTGTACTTTCAGTCTCAATCTCCTCAACATTCTTACATATATATTGCCATAGCTTGAAATTACAGTAGAAGCAGTTCTTGTGCAAGAAATGTAAGCAGAAGTAATGAAAGATATTTTAATTTCATCATATGGACCTTAAATTATATATGCCTCTTCAGGAATAGTCCTGACCAATTCAAGAGGGGGATTTTAAGTTTCAACATGGGCAAAATCCCATAAAATAATGTAGGATTTAAATGGTTAACACAAAGAAAATCTAACAGTGAAATCTCAACTCTCAAAATATAGATTAACTTGACAGAACTCTGTTCCAATTACCATACAACAAAGGCAACTGGTGCAATTCTGGTTGGATATAGTTGTTGTTGTTGTTAAAGCTTATGGTGACAGTGAACTCTCTTTTTTTTTCAAATGAAATTTTGAAAAATTTTCATTATTTTCTTTAAATTATTTAGCAATTTAAATTTGATACAGAAGTACATGATAACTTTTTAGACTATACATAAACTTTCACATAATAATCTTTAAGCAAAAGAAAGCCACATCTTACATGTCACTTATTATTCAATTCCATTCAATGCTACATATTTTTATGAGTACCATGCAATGAAAGCATCAGTTATTTCAAAAAATAATAAGCACTTTCTCATTAATCCTTAATAATCTCTTTCTCTCCTGATTAATTATCATTGTTAATTATGCAAAGAAGTCAACTAGACAGAAACTTCAGCTCAAGTTAGATTTAGATACAAGTTGTTTTTTTTAAAGAAATACACTGTAAGCTATTTGTTATGAGGCAGTGCTCAAATAGTCTTACTGGGGAAGATTTATCTTTGTAACTTGGCAGTGCAACAGTTTTTTGCAACTTTAGCATCTGGAAGGAAATTCAAGATTTGTTAATGAAAGAGATTTTCATAACAAAAGGTAAATTCACAGCAGTTCAGTATTAAAGCTTGTACATTTCAGCAGGGTTCTTGGACATTTTTTTTTGTTAGATCAAAACCCAAAGCCACTGCCAATAGACTCAGGTTTGAGTGTCTGACAAATTTGAGATGCCTGAGAACCCTGTCTACAAATGTTTGTCATACCTTTTAATTACTATACAAGTATACACTGTATATGCAGTTCTTACTTCACATATAACCATTTTTCACAATGTGGAATATTTACTTGTCAAACAATCTTTATAAAATTTGCCAATGAAGAGCTATATGAATAGCAGATATTGCCTAAAGTATGAGTCATTGAGGGTTGGAGCTATGAAATAAGTTGTCTGTCTGTGTTCTTGATGTAAAGTCTCCAACATTTAATTAAATCAAATTAGATTACTTGTGTGTTAAAATTTAAAGTTATGTTTTTACTGTTTAATTAGAATTATATTGTATGTAATGGACAAAGGTATAACAAATTCTCTTTGGTGAACTGGAAAAGACTGATTAATAGAAACTCAAAGCATACAAAACTTCATCCTTCATTTTATAAGAGAAAAAATACAATTCATTTGATGAATAGTTTCATAAATGATTGCCAAAAGTGGCTTAAGTAGGATAAATACTTTTCAATTTTCATTGCTACTGATAGTTTATTTAAACATTACTTTTTAAAGATATCTTCATAAATATTTAATTAACCTCTTAATTACCAACCTGATTAAGCATCTGAACTCTTGTCTTGAGTCTGGTTCCCGTGCTATTGGCAGCTGCTGAAACCGCTCGGTAGAATGGCTCAAACTGCTTCTCTTCAGCAGGTTTCTTAGACCATTCTTCACATATTTGCTTTAAGAAAAAAGTGTATGGGAGTAGAAGAGATGCATTGTCCAGATTTGTACATTTTGGGGTCAAAAATAATATCTAGACACAGTATTGAAGATTCCGTGGTCACCTTAGTAATGAATTCTTTAGATACAAACCATGAACGCTAAAATTATTGCCAGTAGATATTACAACACCTACAATGCAACCACTAACCCTAAAAAAATCATTACAAGTACCACTGTGCAACAGCAACACTGGATGAATATAACCTACCTGCATTCGGCGTTCTTTCTGCTGCAGTCTTTCGTACTTTCTTTGTAACAGTACCACCTCTGTCTTGAGATGAGAGGTGTCAGAAGCTATCTCGTTACCAAACATTGTACCTCGTCTACCGCTGGCGTGAGCCTGGGAATTTTCCATGTTCTCCATCTGTCTCAACTCCTACATCATAGAAAGATATTACGCATTACTTTTGAGATGATAAATAACAAACTTTAAGGATTATTTTCTAATTTTGTTTTTCTTTCAGAAATATTTTTTTAAGTACAATATCTACCGAAAAAAGTGAGATTCGGCCCTGAAATAAAGGTTGTGAAGAACAGCATGATGTGACAGTAAAGTAAATAATATTTCAAGCTTCTGAAAAACATATTACTCTTCTAACCTGGTTTAATAGAGCTAAAAACTACAAATGTATCATGCTACACGTACAATTGTGTCATTCACAACAAATAATATTCAAGACATGCAAACCAAAAATAAAATGAATCTTCATGTACATGCATTTGTCTGCTAATTGGAGTACACAAATTTCTAAATTATCATGGCATTAATTTTCGAGTCCTTACAAGAATAACAAAGCAGTCTCAATAGCATGCATGGTACATTTATCTGCAATCAACTTAAAAAAGTAACAAATTAAACATGGTCTAACAGCAACATAAAAAGTGAAGAAAGCATCAAATTTCTCCTATTTGTCTCTGTGTTTTAATGTCATATACTGGTGACTGGCCTACATACATGCCTGTATCTATAATGATCTGATACCTGATTTATGGTAACATCTCTTAACTCCTGTCATATATCAAAAATTTCATATTCAAAATTTTTTCATCTATAACCAACTTTGCACATTCAAATAAAAAAACTCTGGTAATGTAATATATGATTTCCGTTAATAATCAAATATTGGAAAATGCATTATTTATCATATATTTTATCATTGATATATTTTTTTTTTCAAGTTGTCTTGCTTGACTTCTAAAATTTTTAATTTTCTCAATACGCCAACTTTTAAAAATTTCATTTAAGATCAAATAACAATGAACTTTGATGTAATTTTGTGAATGAGCTATTGATAAACTGTGCTGTGTGTATACCTGATACAACGAGGCTTCTCTTAATTCCTGGTTTTCAAGCAAAGAAATACAAGAAAATTTTAAACATCTAACAAATTAAGTACATCAATTTTCAATACATGTACACTGCTAGATACCAAACTAACAAATATGACTGGATATTAAAATCAAAAATTAAGGGATGGTAAATAATAAATACATATAACACTATTTTAAGCATTAATCATGTCTACTTGTTAAAAAATGAACTGGGAGTACAATGCACTGCATTATGATCATGCTTGCTGAATATCCAACATCGATTTTGAAGAGGGATACTTTGGAATACTGTGAAATCACTAATTTTTGTGGGGTTTTAATTATCAGCATTTTCGTGGTAACGAAGAGATCCACAAATTCATATCCTCCCCAAAACGTTAAAACGTTGTACAAAAGAACAGTGGTTCTCCTTTAACCACGAATTCAAATCCCCTCGAACCAGTAATTTTTCCTTAAACCACAAAAATTTGACCCCTCGAAAATAAGTGATTTTACAGTACAGCTTGAAAACAGTATACCCAGTAATTTCTCTTTGTACAGATTACACCTAGTAATTGCAAAAGCCCTAAACATCTTCTCCACCTATTACAGGAATCATATGCTGTTGCTACTTATATGCTACTTTCAATTAATTCTTTGCATTCTAATATCAATATTTCAAAAACAAAAGATCAACTTCCTTGATAATTTACTACATAGTCCAGTGATATTGACATCACAGTTTTGGCTCCTATTAAATAGCTTTTTCCTTTAAATACCCATTGGATATGCAGTCTAATGGAACAGTCACATTTACAATATTTGGATTTCATTTCTCATGAAATATTCCTGGATTGTTAGTAATACAAATATTAGGTTCAGGAAAAACATTTAGAGAGAAAAAAAATCTATTTACATCACTACATATGACATACAAACTTTTATGAACCTGTTCTATGATTAAACTGTTATATTTACTAACAAACAGAATCCCCTAATTTTATGAAAATAATAAAAGTCTATATCCATATTCATAACATGTCTATTATACAATCAGATAAAGTTGTTAATGTATAGTAACCATTTCAAAAAGCTATCCATACTAGTGAATACTTTCAACATCCATAAAATCATTCATTAGCTTTATTTTGCAATAACCCCCCCCCCCTTTCCCAAAAAAATATACCTCTATTTTTAAAATAATGATCTTATCTAAACACCCCCACCCCCAATCTTTGGGGAAAAAAGCATCAATATACTCTTGTCCCCTAGTAATTAAATGATAGGCTTACCCTAGTATTAAGTTTCAGAAGTTTGGGATCTGGCAATGTGTCTTCCTGTATCCCATACATAGACAGTGTTATACAACCCGACTCAAAGAAATCCAGGTTTTCCTGCTTCAGTTTAGGAATGGAGATGACCTTGGAGTGGTTGAAGGTTGGGGTCAAGGTATTCTTCACAGTTGGAGTTTTGACCTCTTCCACTTTTCCGTTGTTCTTTACAGAATATTTAACCAGGATTCCTTTGGAGAATCTGGATTTGTGTATGTTTGCATTCTCAATGGTAAGCTGTGAAACAAAAATAGAATCTAAACATTTGCCATTTCATTTTTCTTGTGTATTTACATCTGAAGTCATTTCTTTTCATTTCTGTGCTTCAACCAAGAAATAATTACAATTAGACAACAATTTCAAATAAATACTGCCCATTATTAAATATTGCCCATTAAAAAAAAATAATAAAAAAAAACAGTTACAGCATTTGTCATCTAATTCAAGAACAACCTTTTTTCAGGGATGTTTCAATCACACACCTGGCAGAGGAAAAAGTCACAAGATGCTTACAAACATAATTATATGAAAAGAACTTGCTGCTCAAATACCATACCTTGAAATTGTAAGGTTTGTTAAGTAGCTCACGAGGATCATCCACAAATGCCTCCTCATCAATAGGTTTCCCCTTGGGGTCACAGGGCTCCAGTTTGACCTTGACATGCCCTTCCTCCTGACCTTTGTAATCTGAGATGTTGAGAGTATCCTCAAAGTCCAGACAATAGGACAGAGACTGAAGGAAGAGATTGGAGGTCCCTATCAGAACATCTTCTGTGGGCTCCCAGAAAGGGTCTTGTTCTTTAGGAATGTGTGACACATCTTCTCCATCTAGAAACTTCTGGTACAATTCCTATAGGTTTGGGGAAAATAAAGTTAATTCAATGGTTCTATTAAATTGAACAACATTCTAACATTCCAAAATTTTCCCCTTCTTTTTGAAAGTTTGATCATTTATTATCACTGGATATTGATTGCCCTATTTTACAGGTGAGGAAACCTTACCTGTATAAGGTATCTTCTTGTGATGAATTTTCCCCTCTCCCACAGCCATGTATTCCCATTTAGGAGATTTTTCATTTTCACTGTTACTCTGTGGACAAAAAAAACAAAGTTAGTTCATTCTTAATAGTTTTTATTACCTAACAATTATGTGAAAATTGAAACCAATTAGAAATACAAATTGTTATAAATAAAGTTTGTGAAGAAGTTGATTTTTCTGTCCAGTCAGAAAACAGGATTTTCACACACTGCTGAAGAAAGGTTATAGAAACAATAAGAGAGTATATGGATTGCATTTTCCTTGAAAAGATTTTTTGACCCAAATTTTTCAAATGATTCAAAAAATGGGGGAATCAATTATTCCCCTATCATTACATTAATACCATTTCAGCACATCAAGAATTGTAAACTGTACTTCTTCATTGAATGCATGCTATCATGCAAGTTAATCACTGCACATCCTATGGCAAGCATTTTTAGGGCAAAAATTATAGGGCAGTATTTTTTGATTTGTAAAATGTGAAGTGTGACAAGACATATTGTATATATTACTGGTCTACAAAAGAAGTTTATACATACATAGAATTACACCTTGGAAAATTGTGAAGAATTGTGAATACATAAATACAATGGTGTGCAATAGTCTCAAAAAATGCATGTACAATAAGGTGTTAATAATCTTAATAAAGACTTTACTTTTTCTGAAGAGTATCTTATAAAACAGAAATAATAATAAACCAAGAAAAGTAAATGAAAACTGCTAATAAGATGAAAAAAAAAACAAAAGCTGCCAAATGAAAGGACATGCACAATCAATCTGAAATTTCATTTAAATGAAATGTGCAACATAAAACCAAAATGTTGGCAAAATTTGGGGTTTGAAGGGAAAATTACAGCAATTAATATATCACTGGCAAAATGCTACAAGCAGATAAGGATTTACAACTTGATGCCATCCAAAAAATCTTATTCTGAAAAGCTGATTGGTTTAATAAATCCACATGTAATGTAGGGGTCACATTTTGAGAAGCTGATTGGTCAAATAAACCATAGGCATTACTAAGGGGTCACATTCTGAGAAGCTGATTTGCTAAGTCACAGCAGTTCATTACACACCTTTTTCCTCCTTCTTGACTGTTTACCAGAGAAGCATGCAGCATAAAACATCACTGTTCTATCAGAAGCCAGCATTAAATTTGTAGATCATACTTACAATGCATGCTCACTTCACAACATACAATATATATTAGTGTCAGTGTTTATACATGCAATAGTAGATATTCACTGGGTAATTGCACATGATGCCTCATGATATCATTTTAGAGTCTGACAGAAAATTAAGTTTAACATGCTTCCTTAGAATACGTGACAACATTTGATTTTACCTATTTCTCCATTTATCTCTTCAATTCAGTATAGGTACATTAACTATAAACAGCTATAAAATCTTAATTTGCACATGGATTTTTAACTGCTTACCTTGACTGTTTAAGATATGTTGCATTTAAAATTTTCAGGCTCTTTATTTATAATAAATGTAACTTACTGCATTTACAGTTTTGAAGAAAGGGGTTTTTTAACAATTATTTTCCATCACCCTTCCTTTTATTGTGTACATCCACACATGTAACATATAAAGTGATTTATCACATTTCAGTGCACCACATTATTAGAAATTCATGAAATACATGTATCTTTTAAAAAGTGTGATTAGAAAGTTTCAAACACATGAAAAAAAAGGCACAGCTTGCATGTGCAGGTGGTTTACTGCAAGACAAGATTATTATGATTAAAACACATCTAAGCTTTCATACTTCGATGTCCAACTGAAACAAAATGCAATTTATAATCAATTAGCAATTACTTATCTTTGAATTACAAAAAATGTAACATTAATGGCAAAAAAAACTTCGAACTGGCTATAAAGCTAGATGAATTTAATGAAACAATCTTGGAAATCAAAAAATTTAGCTGATAAGTTGATTGAAGCTATTATAAAACATCCACAACAACAAATGGATCATGAAATAAAAGCAATCACCAAGGATCTATATACGAAAAAAAAAAACCTATCAAATATTCAAAGTAACTCAGCAAAATTTAAAAACTTGCTTTTATTTGTCTCTATAAAATCATTTTCAATACTGAAAGCAACCTTTTTTATAGATAAAAACCAAACCACCTCTAAAAATTAATGCAGGGGAAAAAAACAGAATTCTTTGTGTCACCCATTCTACTTACTTTGAGGCATTTGACTGAGTTATGTCCCCTCCCTCTTGGGCAGCAGCTGAGATTAACACGACTTCAAATGACTTCTGTTTGTTCAGTTCCTCAGACACAGCATTCACTTCAGAAACCATAGGAAGGATTTCCAGAACCTGCTCTTGTACTATCTGTTGTTCTGTTTAAAGTAAGAGATTAAATCATCACAGCTTGATTTTTGACTTCTACCATACAGTAATGAAAATTACAGTTGAACTTCGGTATCTCTAACATCGATATCTTGAATACTATATTACTATGGATATGTCAAAGTGATTTGGAAGTCCCAACTACATCCTCTTTAAGTATTTTACCCTCGGATATCTATCTCGAAGTTTTTCTCAGTCCCATCGAGTTTGAAATAAGGAGGTTCAATTGTTATTTCGTTGTCGGACACATTTTTTTTTACATTTGAGAGAAAGGATTAATTAATAAGAAAATTTGTGATTCATATTTATCATAATCTACAATTTCTCTTTGTTCATTTATTTTCAATTTCTAATTAAACATCTCAACATTGTTCATCATTCAAGACACCATTACCTTTACTTAGTCCTGCTGAACCAGTGGCAAATCCCTTCACCTGAGCAATTTCCTTCTGAGCAAACTCCCAAGTTATTTCTTTTGGAAGACTTGAATCTGCAGTTTCAGGTTTCAGGGGATTCATCAGAACATACATATGGTTGGATCCTGGGAAGAGGCACCAAATATCATTTAGCTACATTTCAAAATATTCCACCTCAAATAATATCAACTCACTATTACATAATAGATATTTAAGAAAATTGAACTGTTTAGTCCATTTGTAATACATATAAATATTTAGAATTCAAAATACTAAAATCTTCTTTTTGTGTCAAAAGCAAAATTATTTGTGGATAAGAGATGAAGAAAATAAAAATACCAAAGAGAATTCTGTCCTTATGACAAAGAGCCTTCCTTCCTGTGAGAGGTAAGCCATTAATTTTTGTCTTTGAGCCACTTCCTGACACTGATTCTATTTCTATCACACCTTTATTGTTAAATATCACTGCATGCTGTTTCTGTATACTGTTGAAGAAAATTTAAAAAACAATAATAATTTTGAGTAGTTTTAAGATAAACAGAAATTAAAAGAGATCTTACATTTTCTCATTACTGTAAAACCAAAGTTCAAAACAAAAGGCTTTTGTGCCATGATGCTGAATTGAGTCACCTGCAACTAAAATCCATGACTTCAATGATTTCAATTCACAGTATTGAGGCTTGATGTCAAGTTTACAAATTGTAGATATGTTGCTCTTGCATACTTTATATTTCTATGTAAACATTTGAACCCCTCTTGTGCCCCAGCCACCCTAGCCATGAGGGACTTGATTTGAACAATTATCTGAATCTACTCTAAATGGTACTACTTGTATATATTTTAAAAATCTTAATCTTGAGAATCTCTGAAATGGTAAAACAATTGTACCTACCTGAGACCACTGAGACAAATATCTGGTACAGGACTGGCATCCTTCCTTCCTACAGTTGTTTCACCGCTGTTCTTCAGGAAGTGACATATGACCCCAGACAACATGGGATCCTCATTTAAATTGATCAAATATGGCTCTTTGCTTTTCCTCTTGCTGTCTGCACCTCCTGTTTCAATTTTCTCGGTTTCTGTCCTGGCCTCGGCAAGCTGAATAACAAATTAAACTATGAGTTCAATACAGCTCAATTTTATAAATTAATCTAAAAAAAAAACCCAACAAAATAGACTTCTAGCCTAAGCAAATCATATCTAAGCCCCCGTGTTTGAACAGTTTACATACATTAAAGTATCAATGGAGATTGTCAGTTATCCTAACAATTAATACATGTATAGGAGTATCTAATTTCTCAATTGCATCACAACTGCATATTAATACAGAGCTGTTTTAACACTTCACCTCAGATAAATTTTGGTTATTTTTTTTTTATCAATGTTGACTTGACTATCATTATTTGGTTGTCAGACCTTATCATCCCAGCTCTGGTCATTCTCTGCCAGCATTGCCTGATTGGCCATCAATTGAGCTCTAATATCCTCTTCCATCTGTTTACGCATCTTTTCAAGCTCTGCAAAATTACACCAAGTTTGGTAAATTCTTTAAATATTGATCCATTAAATTACCCATAAAATTATTCTTGGAATGCAAATCTGTGAAAAAACACTGACAGAGTCCTAACAAGAAGGCTCCTTGGTTTAAATGACTAAATGAAAATTTAGGCCTGTAAATGAAGTGAGGACTCACCCTCAGGAGAGAGACCCGCCCCCTCCTGCATCACCATTCCCCCACTTTCCATGGCTCTCTTTAACTTCTCATTTTCTTCCTACACACAGTTCAAAAAAGCATTCAACATTAAAACCAGATAAATAATCTTTAATGGCAAATCTTTACCATATATATGATAGAAAAAAAACATATGAATTTATTCATCCTATTTTCAGCATACCTTGAGTTCCCTTATAAGTTTATCTAATGGATTCTCATTGACTACTGCTTTGTTTTTGATTTTCTTTGCTCTGTCTGCATATCTCAGGGTGGACAAAGTCTCGTCATAGTTAATATCAGCCGGGGACAGGGCAGCAATCATTATTGTTTTACTGTAATGGAAGTAAATTTTAAACATATAAATTTTTCTCATACAAAAATGCAATATGTGGTCATATTTTACAGATCCATTACCAAAGTAAAGAAGGGGCCTTGATTTTACCTGTTGCCTCCCAATGCATTCTGTAAGAGTTTGGTCAGAACTGAGTCTCTGTATGGAACCATGATTTTCTTTTTTGTTCCCATTGACAAATCAGCAAGAGCCTACATAACAAGAAAATATTAAGTAACTATTATTTTTCTCAAATTTCCACACAAATAATCATGAACAAGACATAGACAATTAAAAACTTGATAAACCCTCCAATCATAACCATACTTGCTTGAATCAACTGTGTCCATAAAGAAAGCTCAGTTATTTTGTTTGTATTTTACAAATTTTCTACAATCTCGAGTATTTTTAAAATGAATATCTCAAAAATATATTCTTAAGAGTTAACTTTTAATTCTTTTGTAAGATTAGGATTGACATTGTGTAATTGACTTCAATGGTGACTTCTTACCGAGATGACATTCCCCAGAGCAGACAAGGATTTGTTGATGTTGGCTCCCTCCTTCAGACGGTCACCAGTGGCCCCCGTACTGTCCGCTCTTTCGGAGCCTGTGATACACAAACCCATCATTTCACAAAAGCATAAGCATGTGAAAAATCTTTGAAACAAACCCAATGTCAAATTACCATTCATATTCTCTCTCCATTTCAGTGTTTTCTAATAATGTCACCAAGTGTCATTAAACTAAGGTTATTTTATATGAGGGGCGTTCAAAAAATACGAGGACTTGTTGCAGAGTAAATATATTTGACGACAAAAACACACAAAAAGTCACACGTATTATAACAGAATCTTTACTTTAGTGGTCAACAAAATTTCATGTCAATATATTGAAAATAAATATCAATTTTAAGTGATTACTTCAGACCTATCAAGAAATCACGGCGCAGTTAAAGTGAAATCTGCGACGTCATGACATCATATAAAATATGCAATCTCGTTTTCTCAAATAGTATTCTCTTTTTTGTTTGATACACAATTTGTGTCACTCTATCTACTCATAATAGACATCAATATATCATTCCTAAACCAGGTTGGGAACTATAAAACTAGAGAATTATTTGAAATCTTGTTTGTTCTTAAAACCCCAAACTGCATCTACTTCTGAAATGTTCTGTGACGTTGGTCGCCATTAAAAACGGTAACAGTCCAGATCACGATTTTGTCGATGATCTTCTTCCGAACCCCCCCCCCCCCACCCACCCCGAACGTTTTTCATAAGGTCCTACCGTCTGAAATTTCCTTTTGCTGTTTGTAGACAGATGTCTGGCTTATCGCTGATTTATTACATGTTTTATTAAGTATATTTTGGGTCTCTGTTTGCATTTTCCATATTCTACTCATGATTTGACAAACATGCACTGCTCCGTCGAATCACTCAACGTCATTTTTGCAGTTGTTTTTATAGGGAACACATCGGAGAAAATAACAATATTTCTGTTAATACTTGAAATATTACATCAATAATTTTAATTCATAATTATGTAACAATATAAAGAATCTTTACAGAAAATTGTCGAATAATCTCGCGAATTTTGGAAAATCAATGAGAAAAAGTATAGGTTCTAAGAGTTCATTTTTCAGATATTTTGCCGTGCTCCGTACATCACTATCGGCAATATGAAAACAGCAATAATTTTAAGAGAAATTAATTATTATCAAAAAATTGTTCCAAAATTTTACTAAAATCATTAAGAAATATTTTTCTGTAAAATTTCATTGCAATTTGACATCAGTAAAAGTAAATAATACCAGAGTCCGTGTAATTTTTGAACAGCCCTCAACGTACTGGTAACAGGCTACTTCAAACTTTGAATTAATTGTTAATAAAAAAAAATAATTATTATAATTTTCTCTCTAAATGCAGAACAAGTCCATATCCACTACAGTTGAACTTTGATATCTTGAACACTGATGTTCCAAATACCATAGGTATGTTAAACTGAATTGGAAGTCCCAATGACTTTTTCTTTAAGAATTTTACCCTCAGTATCTCCAATCCTCGGAGATCTCATAGCTTTTTCTAGGTCCCATTGAGATCGAGATAATGATAACAAGGTTTGAATGAATTGGTAGCATTTAAGTCTCCCTTACCTGCTAAATCTACCAGATTCATGACACTACTCTTCTTGGTTTCTGACCCACTCTCATTCTTGATGATTTGGTCAAACGTAATGGTGACTACAGTGTGGGCCCTACTGCTGGTGGCATTCATGTTAGTGGACGCCACTGTTCTACTGGCCGTTCCTGAAATTTATGCAAATATGCCATATTAAAACTCATCAAATATTGTAGTTTGCAGTTCTTAAACTCTTAACTCAGAGTAATTTAATTCTGTCAAATGGTTCTCTTAATTAGTTTATTGGGAAACTGTGAAGTAATCATTACTTTATATTTTTTTCCCTAGTAAAATAATGCCCAAGATTAATTCTGCCAATAATCATAGGATATTTGAAGCTCATGGACAACACTGTTATGAATCAAAAATTTACCCTGTACTAAAATTAAAATTTTATAATTAGATGAAATTCTGTCTACTTGTGCTTATTCTTACCCTGGTCCGTTCTCTTCTCAATTTCAGCGTAACTACCCACAGGGACTCGTTTGAGATTTTCCACATAAAAGTAGCCCAGTTTGGGGTTCTGTCTCACATTAAGTCCACCTTTAGGATTGTCTTTAGATAATAAATCTCTCACTTGTTCATTGTAAATTTCTAACATAGAAAATGTCACTTCAAATCTCTGAAAAAAATACATATTAATCATATAAATAAAAGTATGAAATATTTTTAGGAAATTTTACATTGAATGAACTTTGAAAAGTTGTTCAAATTGACAAGATCAAATGACAAGAAAACTTGTTACATAGTTCATTAAAGCATTTTTAATATGGAAAATAATTGTCATACATTCTGTATATAGTCAGTGCAATATACAAATGCTGTAGTACTTTTTTCTGCATGGTAATTACGGTATGTACTCTGCAGTGACAAATTTTCTGCAGAAATGTCCCAAAGCAAATAAAGTATGTTTAACGCTTGTAGTGGCAATCTAAGAAATTTGCATCATATTTTCTATCCACAGATTTAACAGAAATTGTAAATTCGCAGAATTATGACCCCGTGGAAAAAAGTATGTATACAGTTTGTAATTGGAAGCCACTATGTGGCAGTATTGTACACACCTTATTTGGGTCTGTATTTTTGTCCATGGTTTTAAACATTTCATCACAGGTAATTGGTACGATTCCCCTATTGAAAAATTCAACAAACATCAGATTAACCATTTTCATAGAATAGCGGTGATAACACAATTATAACATACAGTTTTCACACCTTTATCTTAAAAATCAAGCAATGCTCTTCAACATCATTTATGAATACTTATGCATACATGGATATATATCAAACTTGTCTATATATTAAATTCTGCACTAGAACCTATAGTATCAAATATCTTAGATAAGGTTGTTGGGTGCTTGTTACACGTAAAAGAGTTGCAATTTTTTTTGCAGATTTCAACAAAGCCAATGACGCCTTTCATGGAAAGTTTAATTCAATGTACAAAAAAGTTTCTTCAGAAAAAAACAATAATCATAATCTATACTTGTAATCTGGATTATTAAAACCTAACTTTAATTGGTAAAAAGCACATAAATAAATTTGTGTAAATGTACTTTTTGATTTCAATTCCCCTTTTAAAGTTGTCTATAAATGTACTGACTTGTTATTTCCATATCCCACCATGGAGTAGGATTTTCCAGATCCTGTCTGGCCATAGGCAAACAGGGAACAGTTATAGCCTGTAAAGAAGAAATAATATATGTGAGTGTTTCAGTTAAAATAAAAAAAAGAAACTCCACTAGTTGATTTAAAGCAATTTTCAATAGATGTAAGAAAACTTATATGCACTGCATGTAAGGCGGTCCTGGGTATGACTTTTTTTTTGGGGGGGGGGGGATGTTGAACACTTCAAGGCTTTTTTTTTTTACTGTGAAAACATTTATGCCAAAATTTAAAAAAAACATTATACATGTACATGAAACTATAAAACACAAATATGTTTACACAAATGGAATATGTAACTAACAAATGCTTTTCCATATACAAACATTAAAATTCCAACTTCAAAAATTGATTTTATTTTTAACTTTATTTAAATTAGATATTGATTTCACTGTACTGGTAGTTTCATTCTAATACTTCACAAGACCATCTTGTAAGCTGTGTAGAAGAAGTTACTGCAGTTTTGAAATCACCTCGACATAAATACCTCATGAAATATTGATCTGCACAGAAGTGGATTCTATTCTAATGCTAGGCAGAATATTTGAAAAGGGCTAAATCAATCAATAGTGCTCAACAGAGTACCTGGTGGTAAGAGTTCCAACTTCTCCCATCTTAAAGTAGCTGCAATGCCCACATGGCTTGTTAAATACATGCTCTAGCTCTGATATTATTATTCTATTTTCAGTTGTTTAATGTGAAATATATAAGGCTTATGTAAAAATGTGTTTTTTGTCTTAACTGTACTACATATAACTTTAAGATGCAAATAATGATGTTTTTTTTTCATAAATATAGCCCCCCCTTTCTCCACCCCCATGAAAAAAATTATCCCCGTATATTAAAGTGTGTGATATTTAAGTATTTGACTATAAATGTACTGTTGAACCTCTATGTCTTGAACACTGAAGTCTTCAATACCATGGATATGTTGAAGTGAGTTGCTGTCCTAACTCCTTGCTCTTTATGTATTTTAATCTCAATTTCTGGCAATCGTCAGATATACTGAAGTTTTCCTGGGCCCAATCAACTTCCAAATAACAAAATTTTAGTGTATATTGTTGAATTGAAAAACATCACTATATTATGTCTTTATTAAATGTGTAATGAACTTTAATTTGCTTCAAGTTTTGAATGACCTTAAAATACCATAACCTGCAACATGGAGTTGACTTACAAAATTGAAATTTGAGAGACCTTAGACTAAACGAGGTTGTATGTCACTGTGTTTACCTTTGTTGACACCAAGTCAAAAGTACACAAAATATCTCAACCAAATTCAATCTGTTTACATTTACTTCAGATTACGTTTAAGAATGAATACATTAAACTTAAAAGGTTATTGGTTAGTGAACATCTTTCTCATTCTGCTCAAACAAATTGTCTATAATCTTTATTCCACATGCACTTGTCTGAACTGATTCTGCACAAACTAATCAATGTGAGTTATAAGGTCCTTCGGCAATGGAAAACAATAGACTATGCATTTTAAATCCTGATTGCATACAGATTACATAAAAGTCTTTAAAATGTTTAATGGCCCTTACATAATGTTTGCCAATAGTGCAAGCTAGATAACCACCCGTACGAAACAGTCCGGGCGGCTTAGACACGGCTCAGGCACGGATTCCGTTTCCAGAAACCCGTGCTTTTAGCATTCCTGCTCCTATGTAAAATATGTATGGAAAGCCGTGCCTAAAAGTGGTCGAGGCACGGACACGGCACGGGATATTGGCCGAATTATTTAAATTAGATCACACGGTTTTACAAAACCCGTGTCAGAAAGCCGTGCTTGTTTCCATATATGGACTCACGGATTCTGTAAACCCGTGTCTGAAACCCGTGTCCTTTTCCATATATGGAGACACGGATTTTTGGAAACCCGTGTCAAAAAAGCCGTGTGACATACCATATATGGAGTCACGGGATCTGTGCATTTGTTTAGATCTAGGTCAGGGCCTTTAGAGAATCTCCTGATGCAATGTAGATGCCAAAATGGTGACTGAAACCAAACTTCACAATGCTTTACATTATTTTTATGCTTAGTTTTAGAATTTTAAAAGTTAAAAATCTTATATGAATGTGTCCATTTACTTTCTGTTAAGTGTTAAAAATTTACTTTATCAGTGACAATCCATGCTAGCTTTTAATTAAGAATTTAATGATAGTGTACAATTCAATTGTAATTTTATCTAATCTAAGTTTGCACAATCTGAGAAAGAATTTACCGGTAATTTGAATAAAACTTTCTGTAACATAGTAATCATAAATGACACATAAAATGTCTAGGGATTAATTAGTGAAAGTCCAACTAAAGTCATTCAAATAAACAAAGACTCATCAGGTTCATTGTCAACATTGCAATACAGAAATTTCATGAAAATTGAAAATGACTTATTTATTCTATATTACACTTACTGCATTTAGTTCAAAAGTGATGAAATCATTCCAGACTGACATAAATACAATTCCAACTAACATCTATTAGTTAAATATCCTTTAACTAGAGTAAAAAAGACACATTCTTAGCTCATGACCATGAATCCCTCCAATTTAATATTCAAATAAAGGAAGTTATGATTGAGCATGCTCAGTAAAAAGCCGTGAGATATAAATAAATAGTTTGAAGCAAAACCCGCTTGAGTTAAAAACCGTCTCTCTGGGACACGGATTCCGTGCCTCCACACGGGTTTCTGTGAGCGAGGATTCCTCACTTTCAGACTCAGAATCCGTGTCCGTGTCTTGGACATGCAGAACCCGTACGGCTTTTTAAAAACCCATGCGGGTTCCGTGCCTTAGCCGTGCCCAAGCCGTGCCTATTCCGCCTCGAACTTTCGTACGGGCAAGTAAAAAGCCACAAATACAATGGTAGAATTCATAAAATATTTAGGTGTACTTGAACATACCCCATCCTGCTTCCTGGAATTTTATTGGATAAGGTATTTAGATAGATACATGGACATGCCAAATGCTCCATCAATTCAAATTCTTCATTAACAGAGTTTACAATATCTCTCAGACTCCATACTTCAGGAAGTTGTTAAATATTTATGTTTAATGCAATGCAATGTTACAAAAGCCTGATTAATATGTCCAGACAGTCCCTGGTGGCATAGCAATCTGCTTTGAAATTAACATGTACACTAGTTAGGACAAAATTATTGAATTATATAGGTCTGGACCATAAACTTGCATAAGGGCAACACATTACACTGTTGGAGGAGGGAGGACCGACACATCCTTTTTGTGACAAAAATACATGCAAGATTTATTTCATAAATCAATTTTTTGTTGTTGGATATTGCATTTATTTACATTAAGTATAGCCAAGTCATAAAACTGTTCTGCAAAACTCCAAAAACCTGTGTCCCTGCCTCAGACCCCCAAGCATTTGCCCCCCCCCCCCCTTTTTCAGTAATCCTGGATCTGCCACTGCATCATTTATCATGGTCTCTTGATGCCGGCCTGTACATTTACAGTAAATCAAATCAATTTTTTTTCATGTGTGGCTAGAATCATGTGAAATAACTTATAAGTTTGCTTTCTACAACAAATACACAATTTCTATATTTTCAAAGAAAGACAAAATGGGAAAGAAAATTAATGTCAACCTGTACAGTATATATTAGACTGAAAGTTATAGTTGCATTAAGGAAACTCCTAAAAATGTTTACAGCATTGGCATCAAAAATGTACAATCTTTATAACTTTTATGGTATCTCAGATCTATTCTATAGCATTTAATTTTTATGATGAAATGTGTAAACAGGACACGGTGTCAGGTTACAAGAAAATATATGGACACAAATTTCATTATATATTTTTTTAATTTTCTGCCAGGGAACATTCACTAATATCTAACACTGAAAAACTTAAATCAAAAAAATAATTTTCCCACTAATTTTATACTTGATCTCTACATTATTTATATTTAATTTTCCTTTGTTTATTGCCCCCATAAATAAGATAGAGATACATACTGGAGGGACTTTATAAAGCCATTTCCTATATGTTTAAGTTTAAAGTTCAGTAAACTTATCAATGGTAAAGTATTGTATATATGTATTAATTCTAGCTGGTGTCACCTTCATAAGAATCACAAAGCCCATTCAAACACTGAAATACTCAAGGTATAGTTACCTGTTAAATAAAATATTTAATCTATAAAGGGTGACAGAAAGAACAAAGAACTAACAGTACAAAACTTGTCAGCTGTTTTATATATGTATAAATGTGTTGTGCCTTATCAGTAATACCAGCTCTAGGTCTGAGTTTGGTAGTATTTTCTGCTTGGTGAATAATACATTTTTTTCCCCTGATCTGATTTCCTCTTCTGACTTGACCAGCTGTATACACTCAAATCCTCCCCCCACCCCAACCCACCCACCCCCTTTCCCCATTTACAAATAATCTCTGGCAAGATTATTTATTTCTTTAGCATCTAAATGCTAGTGTCAATTTTTTTTCTCTAAAAGTCAATATAAATTTCAAAAAACTTGAAATCAATGGTAATGATGATCAATTTACTCTGTTCACTGAATGGCTAGCAAGCTAATCCAAAATATTCATATATTTTCCACAGTTTTCTATTGATTGTAATCTTACACATAAACATAAGCTAAGCATGGCTAGTGAATATTCAAAACCTGCTGGATTTTTAAAAAACTGTACTGTCATATACCCTAGAGCATATTTCTTTTTTAATATCTAACAAAAAAAAGGTAATATAAGATAAACATTACAGAACAGGTTTTGTTTCAGACTTCCATATTGATTTTCATTCAACAATAAAAGATGAATTTTGAAACTTTGATGATGAGGAGTTCATTGTCTCTAAATAAATGGAATAAAATTGATTTCTCTTGAAACCCGAAAGTGAATGTTTCACTTGAATGGCTCAATAAGACTGTCATTGATTTCACAAAAACAAAAACAATGTTTAATATAGGCCGTGCTTTGGTCTGAATAAAAAATAGAAATGATAATTGTCTCGTTTTTTTATTTTCAGTTAGAGAAGTCATGATCCTTGTAAGTTTGAATTCATTATAAGTACTGTAAACATACTTTATTCTACAGGGTGATAATTCTGCAGAATCACAATTTCTGTTCAATCCGTGGGTAGAAAATTATGCAGATTTCTTAAGATTGCCTGTTGCATGTTTTAAAAGTAACTACTTTAAAGGCAGAGATTTTAAGCACTGCCTTCAAATTAACTGACAGAAATTGTGTTACTGTGTACATATGCATAGTGTAAATTAAGAGGGCTGGGTGGTTGTGGCCATTTTCAGACTATATTGATCTTTAGAAGAAGAGCTCCATATAAAGATATACAAAAATGATCAAATTTTAAAACTAAAATGTATGAATTTTTGTTTGCCAAATTATAGTTGACAGCTTAAGATATCATATCTAAAAAAATAAGTTACATCTGATGGTTTAAATTTGTTGACCCCCCAGCCTCCTTAATCCCACATGGAAAAAAGTATACATCTACAGTATATGAGTGTAATTTGGGGTCTTGTCATATCTGACGCCGACTTCTGACAACATAACTTCCAATACCTAAAATAATACACCCTGATCCAGATTTATCATTTTATGCAACAATATTTTATGCTAAAAGAACTAGAATAAGCCATGCAACTCTTACATATCTGGAAAGTCATGGGAAAAATATCTTAAATGATGACTGGCATAGTTCAATTGAATGTTCTTTGTCTGTGTGCTTGTTTGTGTGTATATCTTAGAAGGGGTGGGGATTCAGCCATTTTCTGAGGTGCAAAAATTTATACATGCTATGCTCTTCATTTTTTATTTCACAACAAACTTATCTATTACCTGAAATTGTTCAGTAAATGGTAATGTCTAAAATTTTGCTCCCTAAAATCTAATGCCTACTTATGAAGGTCCATAAAAGCTTACAATGAACAAACACTGAGTTGACTTTGACAGGTAAAATGGTTTAGGTATTGTGCATGAACCAAGTTAACAGTTTTTTAATGTCAATATCCAATTAATAATTCTATGTATTTGCAAAGTTATTGATTGTAAGACATGATGAAAAGAAGTTCATTAAGTTTAACCGAATAAACAAGAGGCCTATGGGCCACAATGCTCACAGTCACCTTTCTCTTCCTGACACCAATGATACCCTAGCTTTATAGTAGCCATCAATGAAAAGTCCATGATTTCAACAACATCAGAATACAGTACTTATAAAGTCCATGATTTCATCAAATGACAATATCAGTGAATAGTATACTTTTAAAAAGTACATGATTTCAACAACTTCAGTGCACAGTACTTGAAATTCACAATTTCAACAATTTAAGCGTACAGTGCTTAAAGTCCATGACTTCAACAAGTTCAGTGAACAAAACTTAAAGCTAGTCCGTGATTTTAAAAATTTTCTTTATCATCATATGGGGGAAAAGACTATTCAGTTAACTAAATGAAAATCCCCTTCATCTGGAAATGATTTGTGCCAAGTTTGGTTAAAATAAGCCCATTCAGAGGTTCTGAAGAAAAGTCAAATTGTGAAAATTTATCAAGAAATAGACAGACGCTCTTTGATCAGAAAATTTCTTTTGAGTCTTTAGCTCAGCTGAGCTATAAATGGATATAAATGGATAAAAAGCTTTATGGACAACACTGATGCAAAAAAATGTCATCTTAATTGGTGCAAAATGTTATCTCCTGAATGCAGTTTTCTCCATGGAAACTGATGATTTAATTAATTGGTAATCTGCAATAAAGAGCACTTTAATTATTCTAAAATGTCTTAATTTCCTCAGGAATAGTCATAATGTGTGCATTAATGGGGTTATCATTAATGGAATTGCATTTAATAACACCATTTAATTCCGCTTACGAATCTGGATATTGGGATGAAGGGAAATTTCTATACACCTATTTCTTCCTGGCATTTAGAAAATGAACAAATTTAAAGTTGTTCCTTCATCAAACTTCTAGGTATTTTTTTAAATAGTTTTATTAGCTTCATGGGGATTGGTGAATCCTCTTTTGACCAATTTACTTATGGATAATTATAAAGCTAATTTTCCCCAAAAATAGTAATGAGTTACTCATGTTTTCAATGTGTTGTTGATGTAGTTTGAAACCCAGTGCACACAGGTAACTGTATATGTCTGAAGCAAAAGGAGCCAAATATGTTATTAACCTTCAAAGGCATTGTCCAGAACGCCTTGTCCCAGATTTTCGAACACTCTTCTCTGACTGGCATAATTACTCCCGCCCGCAGGAACTAATACGCCATCGCTCTGCTCTTGGAAGCCATCATGTGACCTACAACAAAGAAACAAGGACATATAGCTACACAGTCTATGGCTGAAAATGCAAAATATTGCAATTTTCTGTTCACAGGAAAATATGATCAATTTAATATTTCAGTTTTACATACATGAATGCAATAACATCTATTCCATATATGTTAAAAAGAACCTTGGAGATATAAATTTTGGAATTTTATACATGAATGTTTCATATGTATATTTGTAGAAGAAAACCCCTTCTAAATTTTCAGTTGTATTACTAAATCTTGAGCTTTAGTTTTTTTCATTATACAGGAAAATGTGGGGTTTTTTTTTCCAGAATTCAATTTGAATGAAACTGACAAGTATTCAAACCACACTTGATCATTTTTTCAATAGCTTATGGCCTAAATTTTTGTTGTGGTCGAGCAAAACTATGGGATTTAATCTTTTTTTCCATTAACATAATCAGTGAACTGTTCAATTGTATTTTTCATTATTGTGCTACCTATAAAATTTAAATGGAACAATGTCACCATAATTTCTTTCAAAAATATTGGTGTACTTGAACCTAAACCAGTCTTTGCAATTAACTCCCCATTCAAATGTACTGATGTAGATCTGTCTGTGTACTTATACTTATAAATCTCCAGATTAAAATTGTGCAGTATTGAATTGTAAATACCTAATTTACTGTTCGTTAGCTTTTGGCATGCATTGTATATGGCCGATGAACAGAGTGGTTGTAATATTGAATACATTTATAAAACCCCATGTGTGGAGAATTGTTCAGCTATGTTAATTATGAACAATTAAATTTTAAGATACAGATGCATACAAATATTTTGTATATAGTACTAGCTAATGACACTTATAAAATCCAGTACATGTGTAATAAATTAACCTATGACTAAAAGTGTAAAAAGATTATACGAATACAGAATCAATATCTTACCAATATGAGTAATCGAAGGAAAAGCTTTTAGGTTCTTCATCTGTAAAATTAAAAAATTAAAATCATCTGTAAATTAAAAAATTAGAATCAAACAAATTCCAATAATTGTCAAGTATTTGTTATGAGGTATTTAAACTATTCATATGAATAAAAAAAAAAAAGATTCACAATTTATACCCGGTATTTTCAAAGCATATTATTCTTTCACAGATAGAGATGAAAAATCTTTTAAATTTATTAACAATTTAAATGGGTTAGAAAATCACTTGATGACCTTGCCAATTTTGCGATTCACTCAGAACTCTTTATACTCCATAATCCTCAACTTAACGTTAAACCATATCAGTGATATGTGAAGTTTTATGACATTGCGTTATCAGAACACCCACACTCAGGTCAGGTGAAAGTGTCTCCAATATGTGTTGAAATGTTTACTGTTATCTGTATGCAATGTCTATAAAGTCATATTAATTTTTTTTTAAAGACATATTAAAATTTTTGCTTTAATTATATGCCTGCATTTAAAAATTGATTAATTCATGTTTGAACTAAGTTTGTATTTCCATATTAAACACTCATAATTAAAAAGTCAAGAAAAATATGAATGGAGATAAATTCATACCCCAGTATACATTTAAAACCTGGTTATCTCAAATTCCATAGGACCAGTAAAAAACTTTGAGATATCAGATGATTCAAGAGTACATAAAGACTATTGGACTTCCAACTCACTTTGACAGATTCCATGATATTCAAGATATCAGTGACTGAGATAATGAAGTTTAACTGTATATGCATGGGATCTAGAAAATTATTCTCTATACTAGCATCAGCATTTGCAATTTTTCAATTGATTTTCATAATTCAAAATTCAAATAAAAATCTAAAATTCTTTGAAAAAAAAAATTATTTAGATATTTATAATGAAATATCTATCAAAATTTCCTTATGTAAATTGCAAAAAGTTTAATCAAAATTTAAGAATGTTTGGTTCTTGACCACAAAATATTGATTTATCTGGATAATAGGGAAAATACCAGAAATCCATGATGCCATGCAATACACTGAATATAATTCTATTGATATCCTTTTTCAACTTCTACATTGAATAAATTATAAAACCTATGCTAATTGATAAAAGATTTAAATGTGAAAATATTCATTTAACCCCCCCCCTCTTTTTCCAAATATCTCCATCCATAATCCATGATATATGTTTATTTTATAGCAGACATTTCGTGTACAATTCAATCAATGTACAATTCAATCAATTAAGATGTGGGCATTTTCATTATATAATCAGTCAGACCATAAAATACCCATTCAGTCAAGAACACGCAAAACTTTAAAAAATCGAACCATTGATTAAGTAAGACTATAAGGGCTGATCTTTGTACATAGAATGTGCATTATGAAATTATTATGTTGAGTGTACTGATCAATATTGAAGTCTGAGCTGTTCAATACGGTATCTATGAAAAACAAATACTTCCTAGACAATGTTAATGTATTTTTAATTCAATTCTTGAGTTTTATGGCTGCTATGTATCATGTTGATACAACAGTTACAAATCAGTATGGACCCTGATATTGAGTGTACATATATTTATCTATAACCATTAAAAACATGTTCGAACATTATTAAAATCGATTTCATATCTGCCCCAAAATTGAGATAATAAAGCTTACTTAGGGTTGGAGTGGTTTAAAAATTTCTTCTTGACTTTCAAATTACATATTTATGCAAACATATGACCATAAAGTTTACGCCAAGGATCTGAGTAGGAGAAAGTTAACTTAGCACACTTCTAAAGCCGCACAAGCTTTGTTTATCTAAAATATTGGTTTTCCTCTTTAGGATCTTTTGTAAATGATCAGCCTATAATTCATCAATGGCTAGATTATCCGATACCCTGTGTTTATAGGGATGCTTTGAGGCATTAAGATGTTGAAATCCCTTGACTTTCTCACCCTTAAACCATTTTACAATGTGTCAGAAAATCAATCATAAATTAATCTAGAACAGGCTATTTTCATGCCCCCCCCTTTAAATGGACACAATTTCCATGATCAAAGACATAACTTGCCAAAACAAGTCGCTGGAAAATAATACCACCCTTGCAGCAAGATGATGTAATTAGTGAACACAGGATAATGAATCAAGCTAACGAATTTTGAAAATACATGCTGGAGGCAGAACACAATCCATTGCTAATCATGGAAAAGACGATATTCATTATTGAGCCATAGAGGTTGTCCACCCCCTTTTGATATTTTCATCTATAATAAGACACATGATAAAGACTTTAATTTAAAAAAAAATCATGTAGGGATGACGGGGATTTCTAATCATGTCTGTATATGAAAGTCAAATCTGTATACCTTAGATACACTGATAAATTATATCCCCATGGGATTTCTTTCTACGTACCTTCATATATTATTAAAAATGTATCCAGCCTTGAAATATGTTCTAGATATTTCTTACAATTATAAGGAGAGGTGTGCTTAATTTTAAAAAAAAAATTGTTTGTTCCAAGTTAATAAAATCATGAAGCTGAAATTTGTGTCTCCACGAAAGTTCTTCAATTCTCATAAGAAAATTCAGAGGAAAGTTACACATGAAAATTAACACCTATATATTATAGGGCTACAGTAATTTGAAGATCAATGATTCTTAACAGTTCAATATTACCAGACTAGTGTATAATCTTAAGTTTTAATCTAAAATGAAGAATCTATGATGGTGATCTGTTTACATTATAAGTGCATCTGTTTTTGTTTTTTTGTTTTATTCTTATGCAGGGTTATTTTTGCCCCCCCCCCCCCCCCATTAATTTAATTCACCTTTATATCACTTGCAAATGATTCCCTCCCATTTTATTTTTTAATTTAGTAATGCCCATACAATTTGTTTGTTTTAAGAAGGAAATTACTGTTTCTGGGAATTTGCCCTGTTAATGAATTTGCCCAAGAATGAGGGCAAAAGGGGTATAAGTAAAACAGGGCAAAAATTTCCCTAAATGTATATAGTACTGATTAATAAGCAGGTCTAAAAATGTTTAAATGAGCTTCATTTGTAACTCTAAATAGAATCACACATTGTTAACTGCAAAATGATGTGGTCAGAAAATTAATGTAAAATGTTTCATTTTTTGCATCGACCCTGCATTTTAAGCAGCATATAAAATAAGCTTATATTCTATGCTTGAGCTCAGAATGTTTTAATGTCATAGCATAAGATTTAATGTGAATGCTCCCAAAAGAACTGAAGATTTGTTAGAGTATATATTCAAATTATAATTTTAAATATAAAATCAGGTGCAGATCCAGGAATTTTTGTCAGGGGGGGTCCACCCCAGTCAAAAAATAATTCCCCCCCCCCCATAAAAATCCTTTCCCAAACGTATTAAACCCAGAAGATTTCTTGACGCACATGAAAATAATATTCCTTCAGATATGATGTAGAATACAAACATTTGCTATAAAGTACCTGGTACTGATCAATGGCAACTTTTGCAAGTTCTAGTCTCAGGAATTGTTGCTAATGATTTGTAATGTAGCTCATATATAAACAAATTTAAATAAAATATATTTTAATTGTATTTCTCCTAACCTCAAAAAAGTTATTGATTATAGATCTGCACGTACTAAGGCATCATTTTAATTAGTCCCAAGACACTTTGGGTATAATGCATCTATTTCATTTCTTCATGCAGTATACAAAATAACTATATGACATAATTATACTGCATAAAATATGAAACTTTAAGTATGGTATACTTTTCTGATATCTGTAATTTTTTACAATTTGTAACCTGAGAGAAAGCTAGCATTTATATTCCTCAGTTTTCCTCATCTGCAATTTCTATTAATCATCTATATATATACCTATCCCAAAGCCTGCAGGAACTATAAAATATTTTAAATTGTTAATTTTGAAGAAACTACAAAAATAGGATGAACCACAAAAATAGGACGAACATGGAAAGTCCTTAATTAACATGTAGTGACAGTAATTATAATTGGTTCATACAAACTGGATTTAAATTGAATTAAGACAGAATATAACCCAAGGTCATCAAAGGGAAAGGTTCATTGGATACAATCACAACACCGCCCTCCCCCACCCCTTTCAAAAAACTTCACAAAAATAATGTTTTTGAAACGAAGTAAATTCATTATTTGTTTAATATTGTTTACTAAGACTTCCAGAATATACTAAAAAATGTTTTGGCTTCGCTTAAGGGAAAGAGAGAGAGAGAGAGAGTGAGTACCCCTCCCTGAGATTGTTTCCCATATACCCTCCTTTCGATGTCCCTATAAAACACGAAGACACCTCGTCAAACTTACTTGGTGTTTCCGGATTTGTAATAGTAGTCATCTGACCCTGCATCTTAATAATGAGTTTTGCCTGTCTGTCCTTTTCCCTATAAAAAGAATGTTAAATATTTCACCTATAAAGGGGAGATTACTTCTTCTAAATTTAGCAATAAACTAAAGAAATTTAAAAAAATATATATGTTTGAAGTAGAATACTACATTTCTTGAATTAAGTGTTACATGTAATTTAAAAAATGATATAATTCCACAATATATCATTACATTGTACTGAAAAATGAATGTCATATAAATCATATAATTTCCTTTTAATTTGCTCCTAATTTATTATTTTCTCCATATATCAATCAATATACATACTTCAACTCCATAAATTTGTCCTTTTCCAAAGTTATAAAAATATTATAAACTAATCAATGATTTTCTGTGCATAATTTTCAAAAACACATTTTATTACCTTTGATTAAAGGGACGGACCCTGACAGCTACTTTTACCCTGTAAAAAAAGAACGATTTGACTTTATTTCTTTTTGTTTCATCATTTCAATTGTTTCTGACATGTTTATATATGTATTCATGTAGATGAGATACACAATGCTTATTTGATATTTCTATGTTTTCTTTTAATTACTAAATTAAACAAGGAAGAATATATAAACATTTCTGCTATTTTTTTTTTAATTCTTGTAAATTGCTGTTAATTAAATCCTTTAAACTCAAAAAAATTCAAAGAGAGAAAAAATTAACAATAAAATTGAAATGTCTGACCACAGTTAATTGTCTATAATTGCATAGTAAGTTGAATTGTCCCATTTCTATTTTTTTTTTTTTTTTTTGACTGCTCTGAAAGAATTTTTTAAGAAATTGTACATTATAGCCCGTTAGGTACATAATAAGTTCTAATAAATTATCTGCAGTCTTAAAGGTATTTCTCACAAACATCCCCCCTCCCCCTTTTCATAGAAAAGGTTCACTTTGATCTGCTAATTATACACCGGTGTGTTGAACATCTGCAACCAGAAAGAGAATGGTGTATATCTATCAAATACAATGTATTTGTTATTGATTAAATAATTAAATTGTCGTCTGATACATACGATTCGTCCGGCATGATGTCTGCTGATCCACAGAATAACTTTCAATTAATTAATCCATCGGAATCCTTTACAGAAAACATCCAACTAAACACGAAAACATTGCAATCGCTCCACTTCGCTCGGACACTTGTCTTGAACTGTCAGAATGCACCCTGCGATTCATCCAGGTATAACGTGACGTCACACAGGTAAACACAGATATAGTTCGTTTCAGAAAACATCCAACAGTAAACGGGTATAAAGACCTATATAAATTCGTAACATCAACTCGTGTAAATTAAAATAATTGATGGAGAAATATATAAATATGGTCTAAATTCTACGTGCATAAGTTTATAAATTGAATAGAACAATATTTCCAAATATTTAAAACTTTGTAAATGAAATTCAAAAGTCTCTGCCTCTCTATATATTTTTAAAAATATGTGGAAAAAATTTTGAATACAAAATAATTCATATGATTGCAAAATTGAAAAAGTCTACATCAAAGGGCTTGCTCACTATGATTATACTCAAAAACAGTTTTATTTTTTAAAATCCATACCACCAAAAAGGAACATCTCATCCTTAAGTATGTACATGTATTTGCTGGGATACTGGTATTTTCAGTTTCGGCTATTTAATTCTATGCATTCATAATTTGAAACAAATTACAAAAAAGAAAATTAAATGAGTTAGACAATGATCATATTTTTGAGATATAAGGCGTCGTAATTATGCCGGTAAACCAGACTTCATAGACTTGAATGAAATATTTAAGTCACTGAAACTTTTCTTCATTTAAGATGTCTATCAAAACTAAGAAAATCAAAATGTGAAAAGAAAATAGGAAGTTAGTGGGACAAAAATTATGCTTAAATTGATGAATAAACAATTTGAGAGTAGTTCGGTAAAAATGGCCCAGCAGAATACAACATCTTTATGTGGTCATTTGGTTTACATGTAGAAAAGATTTCTATATAGACTGGGAAAAAAGTCTTAATTGTCATATATTGCAATGTATGGGAATTGTTATTTTCTATTTCTTTATAGCTCAAAATATCATAACATTAAGCTTAATTTTCCATCAATATTTCAAAATGAAAAGGTACATAAGACTTTTTAAATATACCTGCAATTTACAACATATGGAAACTGATTATAGTCGTTGCTCAGAATTAAGAGATGTAAACAAAAACAAACAATGGATAATATGTCGGATAAGTGATTTAAACAATTCATGCAATATTGTATTTCAAAATATTTTCCCCTAAGTATGAAAAAAAAAACAATCAGTCCATCATCTAAATGAGGATAAAAAAGGAAATATCGGTGCATCGGAAAATATTCGAGGGAGGGGTGGGGGGGGTGGGGGTGGGGGTTGATCTAAAAGAATAAGAAGTACAACACGTTCAAGTTGTGAGAGTTATACAAAAAGACGAAATTAAGGAACAGATTCTCTTACATTACGGGCCTATTGCTCTGACACCTGCCAAAAGAAGAACGAAAAAAAAAATCAAAAGCCACACTAGACGCGCTAAAAGTACAACCCCGGAAATGCCCGATATGGTTAATTGGTTAAATTATTCAACACATGGGAAATGTATATATGTTTTTATAATTTAAAAAAAAAACTGTGTTTATGTTCTATCAAATTGTCCGTGGATTGCTTTTACATATTACAATAACATTGAAACAAAAGAGTACACATTTGAAATATTAATCTTTAATTTATTTACACAGAATTGTGATCAATTTGTACTTATCCAATTAAATTTTAACAGACACTGAATATTTTGCATGAAAGTTAACAACAAGCATGCATGATCGTTGTGCTTGCGTTGTTCCTTTGAATACAACTGAATTACAGATTTTCAAGTTGAAATTGTTAGACAGAAAGGTAATCAAAATTGCAAAAAAACATACTCTATGAATTAAAAGTTGCATTTTCTTGGATGTGATGAGAGGCTATTTTCTAAACCAAACAAAAACTTCATGTTTCTTTGGTAACGGTACCTTCAGCAATGGACTGTGCTATTGAACTGCTAGCCGCCCTTTGTCTATCATATGTACATGTATAAAAGACAAACTTAATTACTTGCTTGTGAAATCTAGTGAAATACAGAAAACTGTATATTTATTAGAAATATCATAAAACTGCCCCCCGATGTAGTGAAAAACATACATCTTTGATATTGTACTATTTCTCTATATCCATACTCACGCATGCTATAAAAACTGTTTTGATTTGTCACCATTGTTTATGTTTATCTCTGTATACAATTATAAAATTGTGATGAGATTAATAAATTCAGTTCACTAAGTACCAACCGTTTCTAATTGACTTCTATATAATGTTGTCGAACAAGACTAGGAAATGTACTTACCTTTGAAAAGCTCACTGTCCTAAAAGCACTTACGAATCTGGTCTTCGTACTTCCGCATTTTTAAAAAAAGCTTCTTAATCCTACCAATATTAAGACTATAATTAAAATGTTTAAAGAATTGACACAGAATTTGACAGAAATTACCATTTTTCTTAAAAATTATAAAGGAATGATAGACTTTTTATCCATGTGAATTATTCCTCTTATCAGAGAGTCAATGAACCTTAAAGACCCGACGATATGACAGAAAACTCTGAAGTTTCAAGTATGAATGAGTGACACTATAATGTTAATTACTTTTTTATTATTTATACATAATTTTATTCACATAAAGTGAATGGGATTAGGCAGCAGGCATAGCCTATTTTAGCCCTCTCCCTACTATATTTTTATTACTATATACATGTACATGTATAGTTCAAAACATCAAAGTATAGAAGGTCTCTAGCTGCTAGTATTAAATAAATCTAAATATATTCTCGTAAGAGACGAATTTCACATTCTTAAGGGTTATCTCCCTTTGTCGGCGTAACCCTCATTTTTCTCACTAGGCCCTATATCCCTTGTAACTTACCAGAAAATATTTTCAACCTTCAAACGCCATCGGACAATTTCGATCCTTTCCTGTATATGTTCCCATACTGTGGGACCCATAGTATGGGGCAACATAAAAAACATAATGAGCATATTCATGCGGATTAAAAATTGTAAGACATAGTCCCATAAAGTTGGTAATGAACAGTGCCTTACGCCGGTTGACCTCAGATGGACCCCGCAAAGGGAAATAATTTTTGTAAATGTGAAAGTCATGCTTTCAAAGAAAAAACCAAAACAAACAAAAAACATCCAATACATGTTAAGTAGCAATTTGTGTCAAATATTCATTAAAGCAACATTTTAATGAGTGAACTAGAGTAAGGCAAATTGAAGAACACCTATTTCTTTCAAAAGATAAGTTTTTAGTGGAAATACATCAGGCAAGGTCTTTTTTCTGGAGTTAAAAGGGGAATAAAGTTCTCAATTTTCTTTTTCAACTTTTTAAAAAGATAGAAAATGAGTCACATCCCACCATATTTCCCTTCTTCTTGGATGACCTTAGACCCCGTTGAAAATTAAATAAAGCTACATCCCAGTCTAAGTGCAAAACAATAGTCACAAGCCATTCCGGATAATATTTGTTTATCCGATGAAGTTCTAGATTTAGCGTGCGTCGCACCATTCCGACTTTCGGCACCGTGGTGAATTTCAACCAAGTTGGGAAAAAATGTTAATTTTTATAAGCATATGTCTTTTAGCAATGCATTTATAAAAGTGTTGATATTTGCAGTTTCAACAAAGGAAGATTTTTTTATGTTTGTTATGTAACCGCATGTAAACAGAGAGAGAGAAAGAGAGAGAAAAAAAAATGTCTCGTGTCCACATCAACAAGCGCTTCAGTTGGTCCATTCTTCGAAAACTGAAGTGTAACAGTGGTTTGAAAAAGTGCAGATTTATCTACAGCAAAACTGGAAAATGGGTAATGGGTTTGTTAGATTAGCTGATGTAATATATATGACCTTGAATTCTTCCTCCGACTATTATCCCCCTCCTGCATTTATAATCTGACCGTGCAGGGGAGAATCAGAATGTATGCCTTACTGTAAGACTTACTGTATTACCCAGGATTCCCCACAACCAGATAATGTTACAACTGTTCTTATTCAAGAAACCGACTTTTGATGCTTGATAGATTTATTGCAGGAAGATTAAATGTAATCACATTTTTATGTTTGCATGAGAGACCATAGATCTTATTTTAGTTAAACTGCATGTAGATTGTCCAAATTTGCACTATGAATAAAAAAAAAAGAAAACTCTGAAAACTAAGTCTCACTGAAATTTTATTGCTTTGTATTTCAGTATAAAGAAGATATAAGTGAAAATATATTTGTATCCTATAGTTAAAATAGTTTTTAGTGTGGCAAAGTTTTAGCACCATTCATGTCATAAAATAATTGTTGTTGTGTTTGATAGGATGCATCTGAATTTACACCTGAAGTCAGAGCTGAGGTGGAAAAACACTGGATACCACTTCTGCAGAAAAACAACAATGAAAGATGCTTAAACAAACCTCAGGTAAAAGAGGCAAATAGAAACACAAACAGTTGAACTTCGGTATCTCAAACACTGATATCTCAAATACCATGGATATGTCAATGTGATTTGGAAGTCCCAACCACTTATTCTTTTAGTTTTTTTAAAAAAAAAACATTGGTATCTCAAATATCTCAAAGGTTTTCATCAGTTCAATTGAGTTCCGTATAACGAGGTTTGACTGTATTTTATCTATTGACAAAAATCTGCTGAATATGAAAAAAGTTTAGAAAGTAATTGAGACAAAGAATAGATATTGAAATAATTTCATTCACAGAGTTGTATTGCAATGATGTCAGGAATATAAAAATTCATGTACTGCCATAATTTTAAAATTGCACAAAGTGGAATAGATAGTTGTATGACAAGCATGCAAGTAAATCATTTTTTTTACACAAATCTGCTGGTACATAAATTCTAGATAGACTTCTAAGGATGAAAAAGATATGTAATCTTGACCTTTATGAAGGTCACACTATTAACATCTTTCTTCAATTCATTTTACAAAGATAAACATACATGTATAATCTGATGGCTCTAACATATGTCTGTCTAAGCTGAATGTCTTTGATATGATATTCCTTATTGCCAGGACTCCAAGGAGAAGTTCTATGTGTTGTCCATGTTTCCTTATCCCAGTGGTAAACTCCACATGGGACACGTCAGAGTATACAGTATCAGTGACGTCATCGCTCGCTTTCATCGCTTAACTGGCAAAGATGTAAGTCATCAAAAAGATCATTGCTCTCTATCATCACTTCTTGCAAAGATGAAAGTCATCAAAAATATCATCACTCTCTGTCATTGCTTAACTGGCAAATGTTATGTCTTCAAAAAGATCATTTCTCTCTCTCATCACTTCTTGCAAAGATGAAACTCATCAAAAGGATCATTGTTCTTTTTCATTGCTTAACTGGCAAAGATGTAAGTCATCTAAAAGAGTAATGCTCACTTTCATTGTGTGACTGACAAATATGAAAGTACATGTCCTAAAAATGATGTAGTATCTTTGGTTTGTGATAAATAATTATTCAGTACTTGTTTCACATCAAAACACCTTGTATTCTTTGGCAACAAAAAAATTTGTAAATTGAGACAAATTTTTAACGAAACCTGAACTTTTCTTGTCTATTGCTGTTAATTGTTGTTGCATAACAAGTAGTGGAAACAAAAGCTTGTGCATTTGATATTTTATTTGGAGATTCATTATATTTTTTAACAAAAAGTTTTCCTGTAAAGGTTGTTCATCCTATGGGCTGGGATGCTTTTGGTCTGCCCGCTGAAAATGCAGCTATTGATCATGGGGAACTTCCAGATGTGTGGACTAGAAGGTATCAAATTGCATTGTTCACAAAACACCTTTTACATGTACATGTATTTACATGTAAAATTTGGGAGTGGGGAGGGAGAAGGTGTTCAATTATTTTGGACCCAGGTTAACTAAATGTCTGATAAAAAAGATGCACTTCTTCTCATTAGTCAGCATATTATATTATAATGTCAAACATTGCATCAATGTTTCATTTTATTCCAAAATTCTACAAAAATGACCATTATTTTTAGCTGAATGTCAGTTTAAAATCTTGACTAGAGTACAACCTCAGATCCTAAATTTATAGTGTATTTTTGTTGGAATTATTACAGGTGTAATCAATGTTTAGATTTAATCTGCTGATTTTAACTCTTTTTTTTCTGCAGGAACATTATTGCCATGAGAAAACAGTTGAATGACATGTGCTTCAGCTTTGATTGGAATACAGTGAGTTTCTTCCCTTTATGCATTTTTAGATTTTAGATCTATAACAATTAATGTAATTAGGCATTTAGTTTTATTTTGTTTGTGTCCCTTTCTTATAGGAATACGCCACTTGTGATCCTGAATACTACAGGTGGACACAGTTCATATTCCTGAAAATGTTTGAAGCTGGGCTGGTAGAACAAAGAAAAGTAAGAGTTCAACTTACCATAGGTCACCAAATTTTTGTAAAACATTATTTTTGTGAAAAAGTTGTTTTTTATTTATATGTGAAACAAAATTTGCTTATTTCTGTATTTAGTGATTTAGAATACAAATATACATGTAAAATTTTTGCAAGGAGACAGTCTCATGTAATTAGGAGAAAATATAGTTCTGGTGAATAAAAGTGATTAATAGTGAATATCTCTATGCACAGTTCTATTTTAGACTAAACTAAACTGAACTGGTACATTTTAAATTTTTCAGGAAATTGTGAATTGGGATCCAGTAGATGAAACTGTTTTAGCCAATGAGCAGATTGATGAAAAAGGTTGTTCTTGGAGGTCAGGGGCCAAAGTTCAAAAGATTTACCTTAAACAGTGGTTCATTAAAACCAAAGTATATGCAAAGGTACTGAAATCAAATAAAATCTTTAAATGTATATTCAAAGTATTTGGAATGGAAGAACACTAAGTAAGAGAGAGGAATTCCCTAAGCATTCTAATCCTTATTCTATTGGAAATAAAAATTGTTTAAATCAAATTACAGAATAAAACTTTTCTGGAAAATTTTTTCAGTTTGATGTAAATGTTGCATATGTATTTGTCTATATGTCATTGCTCCTGACAAAAATAATGAGATAAAGATCAACAAAACTAAATGACATTTTGTTAGAACTGCGAACGATAGCATTAATTGTTCTCCCGCCTACCTCCAAGTCAATTTTCAAAAGTTAACACATATGAATGATTTTTCATATTTATATAGATATTTATATGAATTTTCATAAAACATTACTTCTTTTGGAAAATATAGAGAGGTAACTCTATAATATGGATAAAACTTGTGTTTTTCACTATAGAAAGCAACGGAAAATATTTTTAAAACATCTCTTCCCCTCCCCCCCCCCCCCCCCCCCCCCCCCCCCCGGGAAACAAAAATTTTTTTTTACAGGTAATATGGACTGTCATTTCACAAATTCATACCAAAGCTTTTTGTGTTTCACGGAGGGGGGGGGGACATATATTTACAGACAAAAAACTACAAAAATGCTTATTTTTTTCACCAATTTCAAAGGGTTTTACAACTAAAACATTGTATTTAATTAATAAAATATGTTTAATTTTATATGCATAAAACATAAGAAAATATTTAAGGAACCTTTTTTCATATCCAAAAATATTTCAAAATGTGCTGATGCTTTAAAGCCCGATTTCAATGGAAAATATCGTCTACCCCCCTTATTTAAAGAGCTGCAATTAGGGGTAATTAACTATTTAACACTGGCATTAAAATTATCAGTTAATTACCATTGAACTGTTCTTTGCATTCAACAAAGATTGTACGGCCAAATTGCCATTAGTATTGAATTAAATGGGTGTAAAATGTAGGCTGGAATCGAGAATTAGCGTGTGTAGTTCTTCTCTTTGGCAGCTGTATGGCAGCCAGTTGAATGAAGTTAAATTGAAGTAGATCTACATTTGTACTTGTAATTTCTCAGTGATCCTTAAAAGGCAGAGCCATATTGTGAAGGGGATTAATTGTACAGTTGTAATTGTTATGTTTTTCTCTCCTCTGACACAATCATGGTTTGATGAATTTAAAACAGGAGTTTCCTCCCTCTCTCTATATCAATTACATAGTATAGCCAGAATAAAATATGATAATGTTAGTTAGTGCTCAACATTACCGGTAACTAAAACATCCACGTGTCCATCATACAAGTTGCCTTCAAATGTTATTTGTCCAAATACATATTGTACATGTTCAACTCTGAACAGATATAAAAAAAAATGTAGAAGTTAAGTATTATCAAGACTGAAGTACCTATACATGTATTAGTATGACTTACAAAGAGGAAAGTAAAAATATTACAGATATTGCACTCATCTGCAGATTAGTGATATTTGATGAGGTATAACTGAGCCCTTTAGATTGTAAACCATAGGGGAAAATTTTTTTTTTGTAGAAACTTACTCTCTGTTTCTTGAATTCATGGATTTATTAACACCCTGAATATAGCGAATGTTTATACCACAAGTTATTTTTCCCCTTTACAGCATTGCTCAGTAAGCATTTCAGTCAAGAGCATGGTTCCTTCATCATTATCTGTGTAGTAACTTATTTTATTTTCTTACATCACAGTCGCTGTTAGATGGCTTGTCTGAGGTGGATGATAATTTATGGAAGGATGTTAAAAAGTTACAGAAGCGTTGGATTGGGGACTGCAATGGAACCAGGATTGACTTCAGATTAAGGGTAAAAAAATTCTTACCTATTTGAATAACTGAATACAAGAAGTCTAATTATAGCAGATATTATTTAACAGTTTTGATTCATTGTATTATCAGGTAACATTAAGGTACCTCTGCTATTTCCAGGGGTCTGTGTTTTGCTCTATTCACAATTAATAATGTTTACAGAATTTATGAGATTGATCACTATACGCTATCTTCAACATTTTCATTTAAAATAAGCTAGTTACAGAGTATATACTTAATGGAACATTTGTGATCCTAATTATTGAACAAAGGTTCCATGCTGCACTTGTTGCATATTTCATGAATTGGACAGCATGTTTCACCTGTTATGTCATATACAGTTGAACCGTGGTATCTCGAACACAGATATCTCAAATACTTTGGATATGTTGAAGTCATTTTGAAGCGCCATCTGCTTATTCCCTAAGTATTTTACCCTGGATATCTCGAATCCTCAGTTATCTCGATGTATTTTCTCGGTATCTTCAAGTTTGAGATAACAAGGTTTGACTGTATGTTATAGCTGATCTCTGTTCCCTTACATATAGCAGTTCAACCTTTACTTCTTATTTTCCAGCTTGATGGTGTAGAGTGGGAGGAGCCTCTAGCAGTGTTCACATCCACTCCCGAGTGTCTGTATGGAGTGTCTCATATTGCATTACCGACCAATCACAGACTGAATGATCAGAAATACTACAAGGTAAAGGGATGTAACTCTGTAAAAATAATAAGATCATATTTTATGAATGCTATTGTTGGCATTTTTTAAGTCTAACTATTCTCTGAATTCAGATTTTTCAAAAAAACTTTATTTTCAGTTTCCAGACAAGAATGGTTCAAAAGGTATCTTTTGTATGTCTTAAACAAAAATTGATAAATACAGTGTACTTCTTGTATCAGTAAGTTGAAAATTTTTTTTTATAGACATAGCTGCACATAATTATATAATCATGATAATATATTTAAACTATTTTTTAGCGATTTTATTAACTATGGAGGCTATTCATCCTCTGACTGGAAATTCTGTCCCAATCATTGTGTCTCCAGATGTTCCAAATATTCCTTATACTCCAGACAATGAACATTTAGGTATGGAGAGAGAGAGAGAGAGACAGGGATAGACATTAACTTTCAGATTCACTTGACCTTCGGGCAAGTGATCTCAGACTTTGACTTGTCCGAATGCAAAACTTTGTTGCCCAAAATTATGAAAGAACTAAAGAAGAAAATTATTAAAATGTAAACGTTATGATAAGAAAAAATGTGACCAAATACACTACTGTCAATTTGGCAAGTTGAGCTGAAAAAATGTCGATGCATGGTGCATTTGTACGTAATGTATACTGCTGTACTTGTAAATTTAACCTGTTTACTCGCACTGGCATGCACCAATAACCCTCCGTTTCCTTTTAATAAAATTCATTTTTTTTTAAAATTATTTTCGGTAGGATCGTTTTGTGATTTGTGATTTTCAGAGATAACTGTGAAGCAATGGTTAAAGAAGATAGTAGCTATGAAACATGCATCTTATCTTGATCAGGATACTTTGTGTTACACTGTAGTTATATTCTGTGCTTGAATAAATAATCTAATTTCCTAATAAGAAGTTCACAAAATTTTGTCAGACGAAGAGCGTATTTACTATGAAAGAAAATAACAAACCCGATTTTTAAATGAGCGGTATAATCCAGAAACGCTACCAAGGAATTCCAAATGCAAAAACATTGTCAGTCAGGTGCATGGCGGAAATCAAGTGTTCAATTTATTGTTTTATTTATAAATTAATGTAAACTAAATAAATATGTACATTTGTATGAGAAAAATTCACTTGCCTGATCGGACAAGTACGTGGACAATTTCACTTGCCCGAACTGAGAATTTACTTGTCCCGGGCAATCGGGCAACCCTGAGAGAGAGAGCAACCTTATTCAGTTACAAAAAAGAGTCAATTGACCTATTCATGATATTAACCATGGCACTGCCCTTTCTAAGGGTAAATTAATATAGTTTTTGGAAAGTTTTTGTTAGCAGATAATTAAATGACATAATACAAACTGTAATATATGTGCAATTGCTGTTAAGTCATTTTTCACCAACTAGATCAATTTAAGTGCAGTTCCACAGTTATTGTGAAACAGTCTATTCAGAATGCATCTCAGCTGTTTATTCAAAGTTGTCAATTTCTTAATTGTAGCTATTCCCTGTATTAATGAAGAAGACAAATCAACAGCTGATAAAATGGGCTTCACCTATGCTGAGGTCATAAAAGATAATGTCATAGTGAAGTCTGGACAGGTAATTACATGTAGTTGAAATACTACTCTGTTGTCAGTGTCTATCTGTTTAGAACTTTAATTAAAATTGACACCCTCCAAAATGAAACATAATGAGGGCAAAATTTCAACTTTTTCGTTACTGTGTGTGCATGCCATGTTATAGACATACATACAGTGTATATGACTGTGATTGAGTGCAGTGTATTCTAATTTTTTTAATTAGTTTTCTGGACTCAGTAGGGAAGAGGCACATGAAAAAGTGTTGCATTATGCAAAAGTGAGTAAAAATAACTTTTTAAATTGACATGAGCCTTCAAATCTTGATTTGACATGTGGAGTATATCAACATGCAATAAAATGGCTTACTAAAATAGACATTTTCTCAGTAGTATTTGTTATCTTATCAACAGGAGAAGAAGATTGGAGGATTTCTGATGAGTTTGGACTCTAAAGACTGGTTGATTTCCAGACAGCGCTACTGGGGTACACCTATTCCCATTATCCACTGCCCCAAATGTAAGGTCAGTCTGCCATCTTTTTTTTTTAAAGATGTTAATGTTGCAAAAGACAGTTTACTCTTGCCACTGCAAAAGTAAAAAAAAAATTAAATTTTTTGTTAAATTTTATTTTCGAACCCAAAGTGTAATGTTTTCATATACAGGTGACTCTCGATGGCTCGAACACCAATCTCTCGAAGTTCTCCATCTCTCAAAGTGAACCTCCGGTCCCGATTTTTTCTTCTATATAACTAAGCAAATTTACTCCTGATCTCTCGAACTCCCGATCTCTCGAAGTTCTCTATCACTCAAACCAAGGCCTGGGTCCCGTTACACATATTTCATTGTTTTTTACTCTATCTCTCGAAGTTTTGATTGCGCATGTATACACGTCAATCAAGTGTAAAATTAATTCAGCTTGGACTCTGGATAACAGTGAACGCCTGGGGCTGGGATGGACGTGTTAATTGGGTGTTTACATAGATGATACTACACCTGTGAGTCATCCGAATGTTGATATAATTAATTGGTTAATTGGTAAATTATAAACAAATCGCTTCACAACTTATTTTGACTGGACGAGACGCTTTTTGAGAAAATAATTTAGGGACGTGTCAGTAATTTTCCATAGATTATGAACTTTAATATTATTAGAGTCTACACAATCCCACTTTGGCAAACATTGCACAAGAAATCCTATCTCAAGAATTGTATACCGATTACGAGCAATCTTGTGAAGGACCGATCAAGCCCTCGTCCGTGGGTTAGCAAAATCAACAATTGCTATTCAGGTTTAATGTAATTATGAAATGAGAACAAATAAATATTGACATTTAAATTAATCATTTTATTTATTCAAAACACGATCATTGAATCAAGTGAATTACCTGTAACGTGTAATGACATTATCAACATATACTTCCAGTATGTATAATAGTAGACCAATGATGATCGGAACTGAAAATTCCTGATTATATTCACTTTCTATCTCTCGAACCCCCCGATCTCTCGAACTTTTCTTACGGTCCCTTGAACTTCGAGAGATGGAGAGTCACCTGTATAAGTAGTTTTTAATTTTTTTTTAGCTCACCTTAACGAAGTTGGGCGAGCTTATGTAATATCATCGGTGTCGGCGTCCCAGGTTAAGGTTTTTGGAGCAGCTTTCTTTTCAAGTACTTCTATGGCCTATATTAGTCAGAGATGCATGGAGGATGCTTCTAGTGTGTTTCATTGTACCAGTCAAGGTTTCAGATGCTGCAATTTCAGCTAAAGAATGACCAGGTTAATGTTTTTGTAGCAGGTTAAAGTTTTTGGAGCAGGTTAAAGTTTTTGGAGCAGGTCTCATTTCCAAGTAACTATAAGCCCTATATTGACCAAACTTGCATGGATGATACATCTAAGGATGCACACTACTGAACTTGCTTCGGATGCTGGATCTGACCTACATTTTCCGGATGAGTGACTAGGTTAAAGTTTTTGGAGTAGATCTCATTTCAAAGTAACTATAAGCCCTATATTGACCAAACTTGCATGGCTGATACATCTAAGGATGCACACTACTGGACTTGCTTCGGATGCTGAATCTGACCTATATTTTCTGGATGAGTGACCAGGCTAAAGTTTTTGGAGCAGATGTCATTTCCAAGTATCTATAAACCCTATATTGACCAAATTTGCATGGATGATACATCTAAGGATGCACACTACTGGACTTGCTTCAGATGCTGGATCTGACCTATATTTTCCGGATGAGTAACCAGGTTAAAGTTTTTGGAGCAGATCTCATTTCCAGTTTACTTTAAGCCCTATATTGACTAAACTTGCATGGATGATACATCTAAGGATGCACACTAGTGGACTTGCTTCAGATGCTGGATCTGACCTAAATTTTCCAGATGAGTGACCAGGTTAAAGTTTTTGGAGCAGATGTCATTTCCAAGTAACTATAAACCCTATATTGACCAAACTTGCATGGATGATACATCTAAGGATTCACATTACTGGACTTGCTTGGATGCTAGATCTTACCTACATTTTCCGGATGAGTAACCAGGTTAAAGTTTTTGGAGCAGATCTCATTTCCAAGTAACTATAAGGCCTATTTGAACCAAACTTGCATGGATGATGCATCAGGGGACAAACAATCTCAAAACTCGCTTCGGATGCTGGATTTGACTTACATTTTCTGGATGAGTGACTAGTTTTAAGTTTTCAGATAAGGCTATTCCCAAATAACTGCAAGCCCTATCAGACTAAAATTGCATAAATGTTGCATCTAGGGATGCACACTCCTAGATTATTAGTTTAGTGTGGGACTTTGCCTTACTTAAAGACAACATTCGTTGAGGTGAGCTCTGTAATCTCTGATTACCTATGCTAAAATTCTACAATGTTTTTCTTTTGTTTATTTACAATATCTTTTCACTTACTTTTGTTATTGATGATGGATTCTATGGTTTAATCGGATGAAACGTAAGAGTAAACTTCCATCTGGGATTAAAAGTTTCACAAAATTAGATGCAGCTCAATATGTTTTCAATGAACTAGTGCACACAAAACAGTCTCCCCCCCCCCCCCTTTCTCTTTTATAAATAGCTAACCACTAACTTTACTTTCTTCATAGGCAGTACCTGTTCCACTGGAAGATCTACCAGTGAAACTCCCTTCCATTGCCAAATTCACAGGGAAATCTTCACCATTAAAGCAAAGCACTGATTGGCTGAATGTACCTTGTCCAAAGTAAGTATAACTTTATGAAGAAGATCCATGCCTATTTGTTGTTGGCAAATTTGAAAATCACATGCAGTAATACATACTCTTTATAATTTATGTAAAACAAATACACTGCACAGTGCCATACAAGTGATATCAAAATATCCCATATCCCAATGGTTGGTCCAAAAACCCATGTCAAATATCAGACTAGTGGATAAAAATGCATATCAAAATCAGAAATAAGGGGGAGTTAATATATTGATTTAATTGAAATATACATGCAATACAATTTGTGCTAAAATTTGTTGATTTGATAAGTTTAAACTGACCTAAAACTTGCTGTATTTACTTTAGATACATAAGCCAGAAGCACTAAACTTCTTAATTGACTTTAAAATGCAGAAATATATGTGAACTTTCATATTAGATAGTTTAGATATACTAAATATCAACCCCATGTCCCATATCATCCTGGTCCACTGTGGATGATATGACATATGATATGGATGTTTTAAAATTTGTAATATTATATACGCATGTGAATTAAGGCTAGGTATAGGTGTTTCTATGCAAATGAGCTAATAAAAACACAAAGAGGTATATTTATTATTCAGAGAAAGTTTTGTTTTATTTTCTTATGCATACTTAGTGCCCACAATATGTTATAGCCAGTACACATTATGACGTCAAATTATGACGTCACTGATCTTACCTACAGAAGAAATAAACCACAGCAACAAAACAGCTTTGGCGCAAGGGATTACCCTATTTATTTTTATATAAAAATTGTGTTATACTAAGTAGAATATTCTATAGATTAATGAAACTGCTGCACAAATCCTTGGCATTTTCTCATTTGATCGGAATTTGAAGAAACTTATACCGGACGGTACATTTTTACCCTAATTATTCAACTAAAAACTTTACAAATAGAAATTATACAACTGAGCTGTTGATATTTGTGCAGCAATACCAGCAAACTTTGGAATATATTGCTTCTTAATACACCTTGATTCAGTTAAATAAAATAGAGCATGCCCTTGCTCCGAAGCATTTTTGATGATGTCCATTATAATCTTGTGTAGTTAAGAACAATGACATCATAATATGACGTCATAATGTGTACTGGCTATCTCATGTCGTGGGTACCAAGTATGTATTAGACAATAAGTTTTAACTTTCTCTGTATAATAGATATAGTCCTTATGCATTTTAGTTAGTTTATTTGCAGAGAAATGCCTAAACTTAGCCTTAACTCACCTGAGTAAGAAGATTATTTTCTTAATTTTCATTGGCTGAAAGGACATCACGTGATATTCCTCCTTTTGTGATATCGATGCGAAAGCGCATCCGCGGAAAATGATATCGCACAACACACCGTTCAGTTGCACTAAAGTTACGTAGAACGTGATGTCATAATATAAGAAGCGTGTTTTTAACCATGTAACGTAATGACAGCCAAGTCTGTTCAGTTAGGACTGTGTCAGTGCATTCACTTTGAGTGATTATATAATATAACTATTATGGACTTCAGTGAATGGTCAATATGTGGTTATTGGACTCGTGACAATTGATATAGACCTCAGACACAGAAAATGATAGCGACCTCGCAGGCTCGGTCGCTATCACTTTCTGTGTCTTCGGTCAATATCAATTGCCATAAGTCCTTATAACCACATATCGACCTACACTGAAGTCCATAATTGTATAACATTACATGCACTCCCTATTTTCTACATTTTGACAGATGTGGTTCACCCTCTGAGAGGGAGACTGATACTATGGATACATTTGTGGATTCCTCCTGGTATTTCCTACGTTATCTGGACGCACACAACACAGAGGCACCCTATTCACCAGATAAGGTCAACAAGTACATGCCTGTAGACCTGTATATTGGGGGGAAAGAACATGGTAAGGGGAATAGAATTTGAATGTGATAACCTATGAGATCATACAATTGATAGTTAACCCTCATCGGGAATTAAGTGTAAATGCTCCTCCATATCATCTCTCTATCTCTTATTTGAATATAAAGCACTACATTTATATTGTATGTTTTATCTTGTGAATTATAATTGCCTGACATATTTGTATTTTACAGCGATCCTTCACCTATATTTTGCCAGATTCTTCAATTATTTCTTATGTGACCATGGAGGACTGAAGCACAGAGAACCTTTTGTCAATCTCCTAACACAGGGCATGGTCATGGGTCAATCGTTCAGTGTCAAATCAAGTGGAAAATATCTTAGGAAAGAACAGGTGGACTTCTCAGGTAAAGATATGACTTTATACTAGGATATGGAACTAAGTATGTGAATGTGTTAGGAAGTGTTTTTATTGCCAGTGGAACAACATACAGTGGATTCTTTACTTAGATAAAATCCCAGGAAGCACATGGTTACATGAAATGCACTTGTAGAAAACTTGGACAAAGAAATGATTGTATCTTTATGCTTTCTTCTTGCATTCAAATTTTATTGACATAAAAAATCTTATAAACATCTTAGAAAAATAGATTTCTGTTAATTGAGTATCTCGGGGAAAAAAAAAAGTTATAAATGTTCTGTATTTCCCACAAAGATCTTAATGCCCATAAAAAAAAATTAAAGTGAAAGATAACAAAGGAATAATTTTTTTTTTTGAACAGGTGAGAGACCTGCAGAGAAAGGTACAGGAGAGGAAGTTGTTGTACAGTGGGAGAAGATGAGCAAATCCAAATACAACGGGGTGGATCCACAGGCATGTCACTCCAAAATTACAATATGTGTTTTGTGATTTTATTTTGAATATTTTGCCATCCTCATTTACTTTTTTTTCCCTTTGTCTTGTAAATAAGCAGTGATATTGATTTAAAGCATGTTTAAATATTAACTTCTAACATGATGGATGCTAAATTCTTAAATTGAAGTGGTTTTCTGTCATTGAGATTAATTAAAATTTTGAGTTGCGGTGATAAGCTTTAGTCTTCATTTATACAGAGTTCAACTAGGGAGATTTGAAGTAGAATTAGATGAATTAGTAGAATATTTTTGCTTACAGGATGTTATTGATCAGTTTGGTGTGGATGCAACCAGATTAGCTATTTTAGGCACTGTCTCCCCCAGGTCAGACAGGGAATGGTCAAATCAAGGTATCACTATTTAATATATCATGCATATACGTGAATTTTAAACTGATGCTTAAAAAATTGGAAGGGGGGGTGGAGAGAGAGAAAATTTGCATATCAATGTATAAAGGAATATTGTTTTATGAAATTTGGATTACCACTTCCAGAATAATAGCTCTTGTATTGATCACGAAATACTTCCGCTTTTTTAAAGAATTTATTAAATTTTTTCTCTGAATAAGGCATTCGATAAGGGAAGATAACTCTTATAATACTTGCATGAAATTCTATTTTGCTATTGATTGTAGCTTTTGTCAACATAACTCGCTGGCAGAATCGAGTTTGGAACACCATTACAAAGTACATACAGCTCTCTACTGATCCACTTTCCTCAGAGGTGGATCCAAGTAAATTGACTGAGATTGACAATAAACTTTTCCAAAACAGAAATCACTTGATACATGAGGTGAAGCGTCTTTTTTTTAATTAAGCACTATACATGTATTAAAGGAATATGTAAAAAAAAAATAGATTTTTAAGTTGTTTTATTTTTGAAACATTTTTTAATCTCAATATTAGAGACAAATCGTTATATTTTGACAGGTGACGATTTCACTGGAGACACTCTTTAACACTAGCATAGTAATGACTCTTCTGTTTGACTTCATGAAGAAAATCAAGGTAAGAAAAACCTGTGTGTATATGTGCATTCGAGACATTTTGTACTTTTGATGGCATTATCAGAAATACTACTCAGACTGGTTGATTTACATTAGAGTTGTGAACTTATCTAATCCTATAATCTTCTGTTCACAATTTTATCCCAGATCTTGAATTGTTAAAAAAAATTGCAACTGAAATAAAAGCTTTTATTATTTTTTTTAATATAAACTTTAAGGTAACAGATCAGATCAATGACATAGATAGAAATCAAAGATCAAATAGAAAGTACCCTTCCTATCCTCATAGACTTTAGAAATGGCACGAGCATTGTGTTTCACAAACATTTTGCTGATTCGGTTGTACTTGCTTTACATATATGAAATTGATCTCATTTGATGCATTAATTAACTCTATAATTTCAATTCATACATATAATATATTATGTAGACAAAGAGATTTGATCATCTTACGTGAACCTCTCTATGCTTTCTTATATATAGAAATGAGAACAAATTTTAACTTTATTAAGAAAATACAGTTGAACTTTGGTATCTCAAACACTGATATCTCGAATATCATGGATATATGGAAATGAGTTGGAAGTTCCAACCACTTATCCTTTAAGTATTTTACCCTTGATATCTCGAATCCTTGTATATCTTGAAGTTTTTTCACGGTCCCATCGAGTTCGAGATAACGAGGTTTGACTGTATATAGAAATGAGAACAAATTTTAACTTTATTAAGAAAATAGTTCAGATCAGTTCTATTCTTCAGGTTGTGCCAGATGAAGTTAAACTTGTAAGCAGGGAGTATGAGAAATGTTTGGCTGACATGATCATTATTATTGCCCCGTTTGCCCCTAGTTATGCTGAGGAGCTGTGGGTGGGGCTTAGCAGTGTGGCCAGGGGCACAGGGTATTTATGGGTAGGTTTCCAGTTCTGTTTTCTATCCTCAAAATACAGGAATCTGATGTATTTATATAAGATGTCAAAGTCACTCCATGGTTAAGCATAAATTCTGATTAATTTTTTTTTTGACATTGAAATGAAATTGTTAAAAAATATTTTGAAAAGCATCCAATAGTCTAAAGATGTTTTATTTTATTTTGTTGTGCAGTATCAGAATGCCACTAAATTATAAGGAAATTTTCAGTAAGATTGGAACATTTCTGTCTTAGTGCATGTATTTCTGTTTTACAGCATGAAAGCGTATTTAACCAGAAGTGGCCATCGGTTGACCCCAACATGGTGATAAAAGTAAAACTGACACAGAATAAAGGAAGACCTGTAGGAGAAATTACAATGAAACTGAAGGAGTATGGGTGCCTGGATGAGAAGGAACTCTTAGAATTATGTTCAAAGGACAAGAAATTTCAAAATTCTATTGGGAATTCGTATACAAAATTTCACTGGTCTAGGAACGAGTTCCTGCAACCAGTGATAAATTTTACTGTACCAAGGAAAAAGGACTCAGGGAAAGAAGAAAAGAGAGAGAAAAGTGAGAAAAAGACTAGCTAATATAATGTTGGAAATAGGACTTGACTTCATTTGTGTGTGTGGCCACGTGGTGGTGGTGGTGGGGGGGGGGGGGGGGGGGGGGATTGGGTCACCTGAGTAAATTAAGGTGACCTATTTATATTTTCATATGTACATTTCTTTAAGAATGATTAAAGATAAAAAAAAAATGTTCCTTAGACTATGTTTATTGTCCTGCATACCTAAAGCTAAGCCATATTGAACTGATGATCATGTTTTGATGTTCAATGAACAATGCTGTGATATGACACATGATGAATACATATAAAATACATGAAAACTATTATTTGGCCAAGGCTAAGATAACTTGATAGAAGGTAAGGCCTGCCAAGCTCTCTGTGCATTTTCAACCTGAGCCCAAATATCGCTTATATTTCAAGACAGTTAACATGTTTTTTGTTTATCATGCAACATAATTTCAATTCAGCCTTGCTATTTACAGCAAATTTAGGCACATTTCTGCAGCTGAAACTATGTCACAATGGCATGAACAATGCAATGTACATGATGTCACAAGATGAGCAAATAAGAAAAAAAATTCTCACACCAATTAATGATTTATCATCATTAAGATTTATCAAAACAACATAAAACTGAATACACATGGCTTTACTAGGGCATTGACTGATTAAAGCTTTGTTTTATTGGGTTACCTTTTTAATGTCAATGGAGGGTGGTTACAGGATAAATGGCAAATTTGTATAACAGAAATTTATAAGTGCAAATCAATTTTATTTGGTTTGACTGTATTTGTTATTCAGAAAACTATTTTAATTGTTTGATTTTATCTTTTTCAAACGGCAATACAACTGAATTAAGGAAACAAGTACATTGTATTGGGGGGGGGGGGGGGGAAGAGGGGGGTATTTATCAGTGTTCATGGCAATGTTGAATACAGTGAACCCTCCATACCTTGAATTAGGCAGAACTGAATGAAGATTAAACGTCAAGACTTCAAAGGATATAAATTATCAAAGTTGAGATACAAATTCTTAATGGGATATAGACTGACAGCTTATTTAGAAATATCTCTGGTATTTAGGCAATCTAAATCTTAAATGTTAATAATCTTGCATGTTACCCGGTAATATACATTGAAAATGGTCATGTTAGGTAGAAAGACATTTCTGCAGTCTGAAAGCTGAATTAAGTACATGTACTTAATTGTGAACTATCCACTAAAACATCTTCATTCTGTTTGTTCAGTTAGCCTGTAATTCAGGTTTTGACAAAGTGTTTGATTAATGTAGTGTAAATGTTGGCTTTGTACTTTAAATTGATTTTGATCATGAATTTTGTATGGAGACGAACAGACCAGTTCCAAGAATGAAAAGGAGGGGATTTTTGCTGTCTCACCATTGTTAAGCTCTAATTAATTTTTCAAAAAATCTAATTTTCTTTTTACGTATCAAACGAAAACTTTTTTTGTATTAAATGGAGCTAAGCGAAATTTGAAAAATTTATGTTTGAAACAGGAATATTTAGGAAGGGTTTCTGTCTTCTTATCGAGATATGAAATGCATGCACATTCTGATTAAATACTTTTTGGAGAAATGATTAACAATATTTATCAACTAAAAGCAAACAGTTTTAAAATGAACAATGACTTTTCATTGAATTGGAAGTATTTTATTTAAATCATTAAATTAACAATTCATTTACATTGCCCATCCCTATAAGCTAATAAAGACTTTCGTTGTAGCCCTATACATACGAGGATAGACTCATAGACTGTCAAATAAAATTCAATAAATTGAGAAAATAAAATCTTTTGTTTAAAATCAAGGCATACATACTGACTGCATTAACAATGAAACACCAGGGAAGTTATCATTTTAATGTATTTGATATTGCTACCATGAATGCATTTTGTTGGCATCATGGAAGATTGCACAGAGCAAGTTTTTGTTTTTGTTTCTGGTCTTTTAAAAAATAAAAAAAACTATCTAGTACAGTATAATTTCAAGAAGTTGTATAACCCGTTTTAACCAAAATTTGCACGAATTAAATTTTCTTATTACAAGCTAATTAAGATTGGCAGACTAGCGCATTATTTCTTTAAAATACAAGGTTAACCATCATATTTAATTTTTGAATTGAATTATGAGCATACGATTTGGAAAACTCACTTGGGAGAAAATATGATTTTAACACAAACAAACAATGATAAACTGTCAGTTTGGATGATAGTGAGATCTAATAGCAATCTATGATATCTGCACAATTCTAAATTATTGTATTCACTTACATGTATATTCATGTAATGAAAGGGGGAGGGGGTGGTTTAAATCATAGTAAAGAAAGATTATCTGTCCTTATTGCAGTTTCAAATAAAATGACATGAAGGTGCATTGTGTACGGGTATAAGCTGAATTTTGTCCAAAATGTATCTGAGCTAACCTGAAAGAATACTAGTAACAATACATGTTCGTGTTTAATATTATTTTGAAGTAGTGTATTAAATTCGAAGCATAATATTCCAAAGGGGAGTGGGCTCAATAAAAACACACACAAATTCACTAAGAGTAGAAATGAAATATGAAAATAATGAAAGGTAATTATTCTTAAAAGTCCATTTTAAACAGTACAAGTTGTATGAAAAAAGTTGATCAACATTCGACCTAACGACAGATTTTATTTGCAAACAATATCATTGTATCGACCACAGAATTCGCAAAATGTTGACTTTTAAGGAAATTGTTGAAACCCTTATATTATAAACTTATTTGTCTGTAGCATATCTCCTTTAAACAAATTACCATACGCACATGCTCTTGAGCATCAAATGAACTGGGAAATACACACACCATATACAGGTGATAATGATATGTTGCTATATAAGTAATGGGAGGTCTTTTCATTTATAAGTTTTTCAATAAATTAAATATTCTGCTTTATCCAAAAAAAAAAAAGCCTGATGATTAAAGGGCACAATTAAAACCCATTTGAATTCCAACATATTATTGAAAGACCCTTTCATGACTATGTCTATGAAAATAAATAAATAAAACGCAAAAAAAAAAAAAAAAAAAACGGAAAATAAATGAATGAGTTTAACAAAAAATTAAATATCAAATAATGCTTTATTTTTTCTCCATTCTTCCTAAATACATTTTCGCACGATTTTAGAAAATTAAGAAAGTCTGTTGTTATCGGTTTCTTAATTTTTACCTATAGTTAACGAATGATATGAATCTGCAATATCTCAGGATCTTTAGGGCAAGCTTGGAAAACTTTGTTGGGAAAACACGGAAATTCGCAAAAAACCAAGATGATACCGACCGTGGCGATAATACTCAAACATAAATGCTAAAAACATAAAAGGGACAATTTCGACTAAAATGCCAACCTTGCTAATTTGCTATATTTTAAATGTACGTTCCGACAATTAACTTTATTCAAATAATCAATACGTGTATGCATTAAATTTGTTCCGAAATATAAAATTTCGAATCAAGTATTGGATGGTTTAATCTACGACCAACTAGACTGTCCATTTATTATGGAAACGATCGACGTTATATCCTGATAATGGTGTCGGCCTGTTAATACAAAATTCTACAGTATAAGAAATGTTTTGGATGTCAACGAGATGTTTATCCATGAACATAAATTACATTCCCAAACCTTTATTTATTGGAAACCAACCCACTTTTATCTTTGTAAAATACTTCTTTAAGTTATAAGTAATTAATTAGCAATCAGTAAGAATTTAGACATAAATAAAGTCTTTAAGGACATACAACGTACCTTACCTACTGATAATTTTTCAAGACATTCTTAATTTAATATTATAGTGCCATCAGATGTTCGTATACAAAAAATCAGCACGCATTCCCAGGGGTTTTGAAACGATATCAATTGATGAAAATTCTTGTATAATTCAAATAAAAGTATACAAAAATTTCTAAACATATATTCTAGATGTTTTGTTTATCCAAACTTGTTTTAGAAGAAGTGTTCAACAGCATATATAGCACACAGTTCCTTATAAGTATTGGAACGCTTCAACTCCATACAGGGAAAAAGACAATATAGTTCAAACTATGTTGCGTATGTCCTTAACACTTGAAGAATACTGTTAATATGGAAGAATAATTTATTTTTTTACAAGTACATGTTCAATGCCTTTATGTTTTATGTCACTTTTCCAAAAAAAAAAAAAAAAAGAAAAAAGAAAAAAAGGAAATAAACAGTGAAACTTGTCTAATCCGAATGTTGTATATTCCGAAATCTTGCCTAATACGATGTAAACTTAAAATTGTTTGAAATGTTGTCTAATCTGGAAGGTTGTCTAATTTGGCCAATTTCTATGGAATAATGTCCGGATTAGACAAGTTTTATTGTAAGTGTACTTATGTAAGTACATGTATACTTATATAATTATGATACACTTGCTACGCAAGCATTACCCCTCGACGTCCAAGCTGGGTATATCAAAAATTAAAAAAAAAAAAAAATTTAACTTTTATTGGTAAAAGACCGTTGCTCCATTATAGCGTGTCCTAATTTTTCAAATTATATTGCGACTTAACATTGAAATCTTAGTTCAGTAGTTCAATGAGTCTTTGAAATATTCGTAGTTGATTTCACAACAAATGAAATATCCACAAGAGGTTTAGAATGCTATTTTCCACAGAATGGCGACCTCTCTGATTGCCTATACTGTGATCTTGTACACGCAAACTTTGTTGTCGTGCCACTGCCCGACCCACAACCGCTGCTGGTTGTCAACACACAGACCACGTGGTTTTTGCAGCCCGTGCTTCTGGGCCAAGATAATGAACAGGAAGGTTCCATTTTTGTCGATCATCTCAACAGAGGGATTTGAGTAGTAGGAGTTGCAGATCAAGATGTGGCCTTCGTCGTCCGTGCTGATTCCGTGGGGCCAGAAACCACGATTGCCACCCCCTTTGTAGGAGAAGCGGTGTCGTCCGTACATGTCTATAACAACAACCGCGTGTTTGTTGACGTCAGAAACGCAGATGTCGTTGTTTTTGTTCTCGGTCAAATACAGGG